CACAACCTCCCTAGTTCATTTTTTTGAGTGTATAATATTACAAAATATTTCAAATATGCTGTTCTTATCCTGGGGAAGAAAAGGTATCATGGTTTTCCCACAAAAATATGAAGCATCAGCGCAACTGTTTTCAACACGCACACACACAGGAGCTAGTCAGCTGGAGTCTGTGAATGTGTGTCAGTGCGTGATGGTCATTGTAACCTACATGTGAGGTGACTGCTGGATCCCTGTGCGTGCGTGTGTGTGTGTGTGTGTGCCGTTGTTAAAGAAACTTACATGTTTACAGGTTTACAGCACAGTTTACAGACTCGACAGACACGAGATGTGAGTTAAGGTAACGCTATGGACTCAGTGGTGTATCATAATGCTGTATATCCTACACACACTCGTTAATTCTCCTTCAGTGCAGATCTAGGTATATTGTATGAGACGTCACAGTGTGTACGGGATAAAGAAGCAGATTAGATAGCACACGAGACACACAAAGACGTGGAATATGTTGTGTTAAAATTGTATGTACACTATACTGTTCAAATGTTTGCGGTAAAAAAATTTTTTTAAAGAAATGATAACGTATTTTGATGGTCCACTACATTTTACTATATATAAGTAACTTTGCAACATGTCAACTTATTCTACTAATTCTAACCCTAAATTAACAGTCTACTAATACTCTAATGAGAGTTAGCTGACATGTAGTTGTTGCAAAGTTATTTATATATTTTAAACTTTCATTTCATCAAAGAGTCCTCAGAAAAAAATAATCAAAGTTTCCACAAAAATATGAAGCACACAATTGTTTTGATTTCTGGAGGATCATGTGACTGAAGATTTTTGACGCAGAAAATTCAGATTCGAATCCAAGGAATAAATGACAATTTTAAAATATATATGACAGAAAGCAGTTATTTTAATTGTAAAAATATTTCACTATTTTACTGTACTTTTAATGAAATAAAATGCAGTCTTGGTGAACATAAGAGACTTCTTTAAAAAAAAAGTTGTCACTATATCAAAAAGACAGAAAGAGAGATCCTGTATATTAACATTGTCGTATATATAGTTGTCACGACTGCAGACGTCTGAACAGTAGTGCATGTTTTTACTATAATTGTATACAGACTGCACATTGTAGAACAAACAGAGATCACTGCGCAAATGTAAAATCTTTGGTAAAACCTGTGTTTGTTATTGTCAAAAGATCCTTTAAACGATTAAATTAAAGGTTAATTTACCAAATTACTTGAACAACGTACATCCGTTTAGTACTTTTAGTACAACCACCAGAATAGTACAATTATTCAATTAAAATGTCACAATGTTCTGTTCCAAAAGAAAGTACTGGTTAATATAAGGTAACAACATGGGTTGGTTAGGTGTGTATAGGTTCAGGGTTTGTACCCCGTTATTGTAATTACTATAATAAGTACATAGTATGTACATGGGGAACAGGACTGTAAAATAAACTGCTACCAAGTTGTTTTCTGCAAGAAACTCTTGGACAAGTGAGTTGAACTTTGACCTCTGGCTGTGTGCCGAGCAGATTTCTTTATTCCTGGAAACTGTGGAGCTGACACACATACAGCAACACACAAGTGAACTGACCTAACTGTAGAACAGTGTGATAATGATACGTACATATCATTATTTCACGTAATTCGAATATACATTTTGTCTAATGAGATAGCTACTCTGTTTCTAAGAGTTTTCAGTTGCTAATTTTAGGTTACACTTTATTCTGATAGTCCACTTTATATTAGACATTCTATAACTATATTACTTTTGCGTATATTTCAGGTCGAAATGAAACAGAAGAAGCGATAGCCTTTTCTTATATTGTGCCATAAATCCAAGTGAAATGGCTTCTCAAACAAGAATAAATGTAGGGCGGGACTTGATTTTGTCCGTGAGGAATTGATTGGATGGTTGTGGATTGCTATTGGTGGATCTCATGTGAGTGACAGGTTGCCCCGCCTTCGTCATCAGAGAAGCGAAGAGATGTCACTGCAAGAGTTAAAGGGATAGTTCACTTTGAAATAAATTGTTGATATGTTTTAGCTTACCTCAAGGGCATCCAAGATGTAGGTGTCTTTGTTTCCACAGTAGTTTCAACTTTGATATTTTTAGGTCAAACCGTTCGTGTCTGTCAGTCATATAATGGAGGTCTATGGTCACCACCTCAAAGAGCATGCACAGAGAAGTCCAGATTAAACATGATTTAATGACTCGTAAATGTAAGTACACATTGATGGCCTAAGACACGAAACGAGCGGTTTGTGTGAGAAAACGAACAGTATTTATATAGTTTTTACCTTGTGTAACCACAGCCACATCCAAGTGATCTGAGGGAGCGGGCGCTTCAGTCTGCGCAAGCGTCGGAAGTGATCTCTCGCGCGTGTACAGTACGTCACTCATTGTTTACACAGAGATTTCAGAAGGGTTACCCTTCACTGTGAAATCGCAATGGAAGACGATTTTGATATTTATCCACAGACAACGTTGAATTTTTTTCACAACCGCGCGAGAGATCACTTCCGACGCTTTTCGGCACTTGTGCAGACCGAAGTGCCCGCGCTCTCAGATCACTTGGATGTGGCTGTGGTTACAAGATGTAAAAACGGTATAAATACTGTTCGTTTTCTCACACAAACCGCTCGTTTCGTGTCTTAGGCCATCAATGTGTACTTACATTTACGAGTCATTAAATCATGTTTAATTTGGACTTCTCTGTGCATGCTCTTTGAGGTGGTGACCATAGACCTCCATTATATGACTGACAGACAGGAACGGTTTGATCTAAAAATACCAAAATTGAAAATACTGCGGAAACAAAGACACCTACATCTTGGATGCCCTTGAGGTAAGATAAAACATTCCAAAAATTAATTTGAAAGTGAACTATCCCTTTAAATTATTTTGATTAAAAATGACAAGGGCAGGTGACTTTAAAAAAAAAAATATTATGTGCACAGATAAATAATTTATAATAAATACTGCAATTTTCCTCTAAAAAATAACTTCCATTTTGTTTTCATGCTTTTATATAATTGATGAAGTTATTTCCCACATTGCTGTGCTAGTTTCATAACTTCTTCGCAGATAATTAGACAACACTCAAATCAATATCTCACGGTTCTAATTCTTTCTTTCTTTAATTCTTTCTTTCTTTCTTTCTTTCTTTCTTTCTTTCTTTCTTTCTTTCTTTCTCTCTCTCTCTCTCTCTCTTTCTTTCTCTCTCTCTCTCTCTCTCTCTCTCTTTCTTTCTTTCAAATATGTGCCGATCATCTTTCTCTCAGTCTCTGTATAGCCTATTCCCCCTGACCTCAATAAGTGTCCATCTGTCTCTGTGGCTGCTGTGCTGGATCTCTGCTCAGACTTTAATCAGGCTGGTTATCTTGTTAAGACCTATGACAGCTTGTGGCTCAACAAGGCCTTCTAATGTAACAGTCTAACGCATCTCGTGCACGTGCAAATGAACAAAGACAAATGACCAACACTATCAAAACTTTGCTAAAAAAAAAACCCTGTTACACATCTGATTGATATTTATATAGCATGATTAATATTTATATAGCATGTTAAAAACCTTTTAGTACACTCTAAACAATGCTGGATTGTTTGAACCCAAATTTGGGTAAAATATGGACATACCCCACTGTTGGGTTAAAAATGCAATTTCAAATTTTAACCCAACTTCAACTTTCACTTTTAACTTTAAATTTTTTAGTTGCATTTTTGACCCAACCTATGTTGTTTTAAATCAATTTTGGGTCAAATATGGACAAAACCAGACGTTGAATTAAAAGTGTCATTTAAAAATGCAACCCAACGGCTGAGTTAGTCCATATTTGACCCAAAATTGTGTTAAACCAGCCTAGCAATTTTTTTTGGTGCACACTATAAAAAAATGCTGGGTTATTTCAACCCAAATTTGGATCAAATATCAACAAACCTAATATTTTAAAATTACATTTTTAACCCAAAGTTGGATTAATCCATATTTTACTCAAATTTGGGATTGAAACAACCCAGCATTTTTTAGAGTGTATAATTGTAAAAACGTCCCCCCTCCCTTGCTGTGAAATCTTTACTGGTTTTTATCTGTAAATGTAAGAATAACTTGTGTATTATTATTTATATTTCAAGAGCAAAACTGAATCAACTTTATTTGAATATCCACAATGGATTGTTTTAACCCAACTTTGGGTCAAATATGGACAAACCCAAATAAATGTAATTTAAAATCTTCAACTTTCACTTTCAACTGTACATTTTTAAGTACGTTTTTAACCCAACATTTGGGTTTGTCCATCTTTGACCCAAATTTGGGTTAAATTGGGTTAGTGTCTTTGATTTGTTCATCTCTCAATCATTGTATTGCATAATCTGTTTTGAAACTAGAGATCTGATCATAAGCAAAGATATCATCTTACTATGACTTTCTATAGTGGAAGATATAGTGACAACTGATATTTATACGATTTTATGCTAATATAAAAATCTCAGTACATTACTTTCATTTTTCTTTTTAATCAGTCTCAAGATGCATATTTTTTCTTTTGAATAAATTAGTTTTCCATCCTCGAGTATGTGTAGCCTATGTTCTCACTACTATATGAGCCGTAAAAACCTGATGTATCAAATTAAACTCAAATTTGCAATTGAACTCTTCACTGAAATTGTCATTTATTATGGAAGGAAACAAATAGTTTTTTCGCTAGTGAATCCTGCTGTATATAATGTAAAATACTTCCAAGACAACAAAACTGGTCATATCTAAAGGTCTTCACACAGCAGACAGCACATCCCAAACATTTAACTGAAACGGTCATGAATCGCTAACTGCAGTTCGTGAGGCCTTTAGGTTGTCAATGAGCACAGGACAACATTGATTTTAATTGCTGTTGAGCAACAGGGGTGACGGAAGAAAGAAGACTGTAAAGTGGAGGTGGAAGAAAAGAGGAGGAGAGAAACGGAGGGGAGGCGGGTGTTAAAGAGACTCTTCTGGATTAAGTCCCTTAGAAGCTGTTTGGTGACTGATTTTGACTATAGTGACAGGACGAACAGGAGTCCACATGAGCTGACAGCATCTGGACCGTTACTGTAAGTCTCCGTTTGTAGATCCTTTATGTATATCATACATCTAGATATAGCTCAGGTAATGAGATGGGGATTATCTGATGTTTTACTGAGAGCTTAATGGAGTGTGAATGACATGCTCCAGTTCTCCGTGTGTCTGTTTATATTATTATACGTTGGTCATATTTCATGAGCTTTTTTTGTTGTTGTTGTTGAATGGATTTTGTGTGTTAAAACTCTTCAGCTGTTTTCTATATGAACTGTGCTCTTGTGCAGCTGTTTTGGTTGAGGCTATGATTGAGAAGGTAATGATACAAATAAAAAACATTTGGTTTACTGACACATATACATTTATGTACCATGATAGTCAAAACTGTTCCCTATTCCTGGCTTTTGTTGATAATGTTAATATACAGGATCTCTCTTTCTGTCTTTTTGTTAAGTTTCTCTTTTTCCGACAGTGTTGACGACAAGTTACCACAGTTTTGTTGCTGGACATTGAGATTAACACTGTGTTTAAGGACTGGAATTAACGGAGTAAGAAGTGCGCTTAATTGTGAACGCACTCTAAACAATGCTGGGTTGTTTGAACCCAAATTTGGGTAAAATATGGACAAACCCAAATGTTGGGTTAAAAATGTAATTTCAAATTTTAACCCAATTTCAACTGTACATTTTTTTCATCTTATTGTAATTAACATGTAATAAAGTGCAAACAACGCTCTAAAAAATGCTGGGTTGTTTTAACCCAATTTTGGGTCAAATATGGACAAACCCAGCCATTGGGTTACATTTTTAAATGACATTTTTTAACCCAATGTTTGAGTTTGCTATAATTCTGAATATTTTAACTCAATTTTGGGTCAAATATGGACAAACCCAAACGTTTGATTAAAAATGCAATTTAAAAATGTAACCCAACAGCTGGGTTAGTCCATATTTCACCCAAAATTGGGTTAAACCAACCCAGCGTTTTTTAGAGTGAATATGCTTTAAAATATCTGAGCAATACTTCAGTGATATTTGAATGAAAGATTACATATTTCACTGTAAAAATGGCATTTTATAATGTTGGATTACTAAATGACTAAAACGGTCACTGTTTTGCTCAGCCAGTTGTTCTGGATGAAGATCCAAATGGTTCTTTTAGACTAGAGGTGGTTATTTAATATCATTTCATGGATTCAGCAGACGGCACATTCAATTTGAATCTAGTGTCTCAGACTTAAAGTTCTGCCTTCATTCGAATCTGACAGTCAGGCTAATCGAGTGGATTTAGACTGGAAGATAAACCGAGATGAAGTGAGGATTGAGAGAGACTGCAACGGCTTCACGCTGTTCTCAACTGCTGCCATCTGTCTTGCTTTCTAAGCTTGTGACACGCATGATCTTACCGCACACACATGTTCACGCAAGCACACAACCTGTGTGAGAGGGGTCTAAAACTCAATGTCATTTCATTAGTAAGATATCCTAAATGTAAATGGGTGTAGTTTTCTGTTAAAGGCCCTTTGGTTTCTTTCTGGTTTCATCAAGGTTATCTGTCTGATAGCAGAATCCAACACAAACCCATTGGCACATAAAGCAACAAACTAAGCTACACTGACCCGACAGACAGGGAAGACCACTGCTGCTAGTCAAACCAAAAGCAAAATACCCTTTAATCAAGTTTTCTGGTAACTGGAAAGATGTGCATCCTGGTTAGCAGTGAAAATGTCAGGATGATGATTGGACAAAATGCACTGTAAACTGTGGGGATGGACAGTCCAGGATCAGTCAGTCCAGTACAGAATATATATGTCATTCAGGGTCCAAAAGTCAGAACTGAAGAATTGGTTCCCTTTTAATTTTCAAGAACTGAATTGATTTGAATTGCCCAAACTCAACAACAGCATTGAATTGGATTAGGAATAGGGGATTATAACGCTGATACGTAGTACTTCCAGATTCAGTGATCTTTGTGGACCGCCACTTCCATTGAATCACCGATCTCGCTGGCAAACTGATGAAGGACTACACTAAGTTTATTTATACAGCATCCCTGGTAAATTAGTCTGATTCACTAAAGTGCCGGCTGCAAACAAACGTGCTACCTTGTTTTATTTTAAAGTTTTAATCCATTTCTTCCTAATACTCAATTCAGTCGGGAATCCATGAAAACTTAAGAAGGGTTGGTGTTGTTGGTTAGATTTACAAAGTGGAACAGAGGAGTGACATAAATAGCATTCGTCTCGGGCATTGTTGAACTGCGTCGGAAGTGGACATGCACAAAGTTGACAAATCCCGCCCATGAAATCCGGAAGCGTGATAATCCCCTATTGCAATAACAGTAAGAGGAATTTACTCAATTGCAATTCAAAGAATTGCAAGACTAATTATAATTTAAATTAAATACAACAGTTTAAAACATTAATTACACTCTAAAAATTGATGGGTTGTTTTAACCCAACTTTGGGTCAAATATGGACAAACCCACCCATTGGGTTACATTTTTTAATTGCATTTTTAACCCAACGTTTGGGTTTGTCCATATTTGACCCAAAGTTAGGTTAAAACGACGCGGCATATTTAGAGTGTATTAACCAATTTACCAAAGATACGCATTTACCAAAGATACGCTGTGAAAAAAGTGCTGGACGGGGTAATGTGTGCGGCTGACATTATTGCACATGCATTTGTAAGAGTTTCCATTTCAGACGCAAACTTTATGGCAGTAGTGTATTTCTGAAACACGCAAGGTGATTTGCCTTTGTCAATTTACTGGTATTTGCGCCATTATTTACAGCCCAAGAAAAGCATGTCTTAAACCAGATGCTAATTTTAACTGCTCTTGGTAGATTTGTTGGTAATTATGAAAATGATCCGACTGGATTAAAAAAAAAAAGTCTCTCTCAGTTTGATTTTAAATTGCATGCACTGAATATCACGATAAATCCCATTCAAGCTGTGTTCTTCTTTAAGTTCTGGACATGAAACACAGTCCAGCCTCCTTCCTGCCAGCGATCAGACCAAGCACTTAATTAATCCAATTAATGGAAAAGTTCAGTAGACTCTCTCAAACAGACACGATCACATGCTAATCCTCTGTAGACCCTTGATGACGACTCTTTTCTTGAGTTATCTGTTATCTTCATTAGGAGGGATTCTGACGTACACACATCCACTTGTGCGAGCGGAAATGTTTGCTTCAAACTACTTAAACTAATCATTCCTAACATCCCAAACGAAACGTTATTCAGTGATTATTTGCAGCAACCTTGAAACCTTCTTTGGTGAGCATAAAAGCTCTTGATTTTACATTACAGGTCCTTCTCATCAGTCTATAAGTTTCGGGGGTTCTTCGAAGCTTCAGTGTGGGGATTTTTAGAGTTCTTTGAGGATCTTAAAATGAATGTATTGTGGCATCAGGCTGTCAAACCCCATCAGTTAGAAATGGAGCCTTTATTTTTACGAAGAAAATAGTAGTCGGGCTGGACGTTATGATGAATATACTTAGCCTTGTGGTTAACAAAACAGTAAATTGTGTAAATTCCAATTGCAGTTATGCCACATCATAACCCTTAATTGTATTAAATTATATTGCAGTGTCCTTCAAATCTTAAAAGTATATTTAAAAAAAACTGTACTTGCAGATATTATTATGATGATAATGAAAAAAGATGAGGATGACAATAATGAAAAAAGGCAACTTAAGTGTGTTTAAAGAGAGTACACACTTAAGTACAATTTTGAAAAATGCACTTTGTAATTTTCTAATATTTGAATTTGCTTTAACGTGTTGACTAACATACTTAAGTGCATGTATACTGTAGTGTATTTGATAATGTACTCAGTTCCGTAGATCATAAAAGGAGAGTTCAGATTTCAAGGTTTAAAGAAAAAATATCCTGTCTTCCGAAAACTTCATCAGGAATGACGAGATTTTCTATTTCCAGGCTTTACATGGCTGCTCTGAAGAGACAAGCGAAGGATCATCGGACGTATTACTAGCAAATACACGTGGTCTCTGAACGGCTGATGACCTTGGAGAGGAGGAGGCTTGAAAAGACACAGTAAGCACTAAGAGACAGTTTTACAGGATTTAGAAGACGAGGGCAGATACGAGTACGATCCTCTTCAGGATTAAGACGTTATTTTCATTGTACTGCTGTGCAAAACAACGAGATTTGGTTGCTATCCCACATTCTCAATCATTTCCTTCGACAAATATGCATCCAGTAAGGTCCACAGTAGGACTCGGGATGGGGGAACGTATTTTCTTCTTCTTCTTCTGTTCCATCTGTCTTTCCGTATGCGCTGGGACTGGAATGCCAGGTTCGGACTACAACCCTCATCCTCGTTTCATTTGTACCCCCATTCCCGCTGACGCCGATCCCGGGTGTTTCCCCACGACGGGCGGCCCAGGTGGCCCCAGTCCCGGACACCACAGCGGACCTAGCGGGAACAGCAACAGCTGGTGGGGAATGTCCGAGGAGGCAAAAGCGACAATCCTGCACCTGCGGGAGAGTTTGGTGCAGCAGAAAGAAACCATCCTGGACCAGAGGGAGACTATCCGAGAGCTCACCGCCAAACTGAACCTGTGTGAGGGTTTCAACCGCGGCACGGGCAGCCATGACGACCACCCGCACCGCAAACCCACACACCTGGCTCACCACGCCCACCACGCCTACCCGACAGCACCCGACACAGCGCACCTTGGGTGGGCGCCGCCCGATGGTAACCACGGCAGTCGTGGAATGGAGCTTGGTCACTATGGCGACGGGGGACATCATCGCGGGAAAGCCTCGCTGAGCGAGAAGCACGTCACAGGGGAGATTCCTTCACCCTCGTCTACGCCGGAGCAGATGAGCAGGATGCTTCAGTCCCTAAAGGAGCGGCTAGAGAGCCTGCAGGTAGAGTCGAGTCTCATTTATTTATACAGCACTTTATCAATAGAGGTTGTTTCAAAGCAGCCTCACAGTAATAAACAGCAAAATAGCATGACATGTATCAATTATGAAACAAATTCAGTTCCAGCTGTAAAGCAACTCGACTGAAGTGTCATTATCACCGTAATTTAGTTAAATGTTTTATCTTAGTGAAGATTTTGGAAAGGGTATCCATTATAAAACATTAAAGGGACACTCCACCCATGCATTACGATTTCCATTGTTACTATTGAATGGTCGTGCAACACTCTCATTTTCCCTTGAGACGAGAGAAATCCGCTATTTACCTTTTTCACTTCGAGGGGATTAATGAAGATGCCGAAGACAAAACGCTCCAAGGTTTGCCGGCATTTCACGTGTAAAATTACGCGTCAGAGTAAGTGTGCCGATTGTCTGAAGCCCATATAGATTCACGCCAATCCATTGGCTGATGGCTCGGGCGCCGCCTTGACGCTCTTACGTCGTCATATTATATTAGCGCGCATTATCTGATTTGTTTGTCTGAAATGATTTCCAGGCGGTAGCGTAGAGTGGAGCTCAACTCTAGTCTACATTGATGGGCGGAGTAGTGGGAGTGGCCTGCAGAGCTGAGCATTGCAATGCACAATGGGGATTGTTGTCTACAACACACAAGCACTAAAAAGTCATTTTATGCCTTTTCTCTGCCAAGAAGGACCCAAATTAGAAATTGAAGAGTTCAGATGCAAAAGCCTCTAAATGCCATTTGAAATTTTCTTCTAAAATGACCATTTTTATCAAGCTTGTATATTTAATATCAGTAATTTCACTTAAATGACAATTCATAGGTAATCTTCATTGCCATTTAAGTGAAATTACTGAACTTAAATATACAAGCTTGATAAAAATTATCATTTTAGAAGAAAATTTCAAATGGCACTTAGAGGCTTTTGCATCTGAACTCTTCAATTTATGATACTATTCTGCTAGGCTACATATATGACCCACTTTCAATACATATACATGTCTCCACCGGTGGAATTACTCTTTAAATTTAGCTATAAAGCAGATCTACAGCAGAAAATAATTGAGAAATGGAGCAACCTTGAAACCTTCGGAGTTTATAAAAACTCTTGATGTTACATTACGGGTTCTTCAGATCAGTCTATGGGTTTCTGGGGTTCTTTGAAGCTTCAGTATGGTGATTTTTTAGAAGAACTAGAGAATAAAAAGTTCTTTGAATGATCTTATAAATGAACTGAACTGACCTCAGCTGAACCATGACACTATTGACACTACAAGAACAAGAAACAGGTGGGGACTAATCAATCAATCGCAGCTTTCATTGGCCAAGAACCGCCCAAGAGGATGTTTGACTGACATGTAACGCAACCTATCACAGTTCGTTTTGTGTGTAACGGAGGCCAGCTAGTAGTTGCTGTGCAAGTAAGCACAGCTAGAGCTGCAGTCTTTTGCCTCCTTGTTAGAGCGCCTGACTCTCATGCCGGAGACCCGGGTTCGAGGCCCACTCGGAGCGAGTCGAGTAGGAGTTACATGTGTTTTTACTAGGGTAATCCTGTCAATTTAAATATATTTGGTGAGGGGTTTTGAGCAGCAATCAACATCAGCATGCAGACCTTTGCTTAGACTGCTGTGATTGTGTTTACAGACAAGAAACACTTCCACCAGCTACTCGAGTTCACTGAAAGATCTCCTGCAGAGGAAGATCAACGCTCTAGAACAACAGATGCAACACCATTCTTCATCACTAATCAGTGCCAGTCACAGTGACCACGAAGGTGATGATGATGGCGGTCACCATGACGACGATCACGACAACGGCCCTCATGAGGACAGCCACGACGATCACCATGATCCTCACGATGAGAGCCACCACAGTGATCACCATGATGATGATCATCATGACAACGGTCACCATGATGACGATGGACACCACGACAACAGTCACCATGACAATGAGGTTTCTGAACATGGCTTCGAGAGGTTGTCTTATAACCTACAAGGGCACAGAGAAGCACAGGTTGGAGCGCACAGCAAACTGGACGCAGTTCTGAGTGATCTGCAGCACAGGCTTACTGACACTGGTAAGAGAACGGTAGAAGAACGCTAGTTACTTCTGTCTTTGAGCATTTAGATTGAACACAACTTAAGCTTGGCCAGTTTTGGTCCTTGGATGATGACCTGAACAGTGTTGTAGTACTCGAGACTCGGACTCGTCTCGGACTCGGTCTCGAGACCATATTTTAATGGTCTTGGTCTTGTCATGGACTCGTGTGCATTTGGACTCGGAATTGACTCGTACTCGAACATTTGTTTTTTTAGGACTCGGAATTATTCCCGAGTCCACTCGAGTTCAATTCAAAATATTTTTCATGATTATTAATGTATGTTAATAAAATATTTCTTTAAATTGGTTGACACGCCCAGTGATTGGTGATTTTCTAGTGCGCAACTGCGCATGACAAATTGTAATAAAATTACTTTTAACACCACCTACTATGTGGCCTTTTTACCCTAAACTGATCATATTTTTTAAACTCTAAGTAAATTCAGTAAAAAAAAAAAAAAGAGGATTTCTCTAAGTAAATAAAAGTAAATTAGGTAATCAACCCTTACTGGTCTCGGTCTCGACTCGGACTCGACCGTCTCTGGTCTCGGACTCGACTCTCTATGGACTCGGTCTTGACTCGGACTCGACTCTCTCTGGTCTCGGTGTCGACTCGGACTCGACTCTCTATGGACTCGGTCTTGACTCGGACTCGACTCTCTCTGGTCTCGGTGTCGACTCGGACTCGAGTGAGGTGGTCTCGACTACAACACTGGACCTGAAAAAACACCTTGATCAAGAATCAAGATGATTAGGATTGGTAGACCACCGCTATTCAGGGTGCAAAAAAAATCAGAGGAGGGATATTTGAATGTCATTATTTGACAAGGTTAACGTTACGAAAGAACGGTTTAAAGGGATACTTCACTTTGAAATTAATTTTTGATATGTTTTAGCTTACCTCGAGGGCATCCAAAATGTAGGTGTGTTCTTTGTTTCCACATTAGTTTCAATTTTGATATTTTTAGGTCAAACCGTTGTCTGTCAGTCATATAATGGAGGTCTATGGTCACCACCTCAAAGAGCATGCACAGAGAAGTCCAGATTAAACATGATTTATTGACTCATAAATGTAAGTACACATTGATGGCCTAAGACACGAAACGAATGGTTTGTTTGAGAAAACGAACAGTATTATATTGGTTTACCTCGTGTAATCACAGCCACGTCCAAGTGATCTGAGGGCGCGGGCACTTCACTGTGAAGATCTAAACATATTTAGATAGACAGGAAATTGCAATGGACAACATGACATCATGACTTTTGCGTAAACATACACGCCACTTTCGAGTCAAGTGGCGTGTTATCTCTACGCATTTTGCTATCCGCGTGTCTGTACACGCCGTCAAATGTCCGTGCGAAACGAAGCAAAATATAGATCTACATTTGGTTAGCGATCTTTATTTTCCCTAGGATGGTAAGGGAACAATCATAAATGCCATTAACCCCAGTGACGGTTAAGTTTAGGGACTGGGTTGAGGTAAGTCATATATTTATATATACAGTAATAACGTTAAGTCAACGGCGTTCATAAACACGCTGAAAAGCGATTATGCGTGTTGATAGCACACCAAAAATGGAAATACGAATTGGCATGTCATACACACGCTACTTCATGAGATCAGTCTGCAATGGAAGATGATTTCGATTTATTTATTTTTTTCCGCAACCACGCGAGAGATCACTTCCGACGCTTTCTGGCACTTGCGCAGACCGAAGCGCCCATGTCTTCAGATCACTTGGACGTGGCTGTGATTACAAGAGGTAAAAACGATATAAATACTGTTCGTTTTCTCACACAAAAGCTCGTTTCGTGTCTTAGGCCATCAATGTGTACTTACATTCTCGAGTCATTAAATCATGTTTAATTTGGACTTCTCTGTGCATGCTCTTTGAGGTGGTGACCATAGACCTCCATTATATGACTGACAGACAAGAACGCTTTGACCTAAAAATATCAAAATTAAAACTACTGTGGAAAGAAAAACACCTACATCTTGGATGCCCTTGAGGTAAGCTAAAACATTTCAAAAATGAATTTCAAAGTGAACTATCCCTTTAATGATCTACAACAAACTAGAGAAAGCTTTGGTGATAACTAAGTTAATATATTTAGTTACTACAACAGTAGTTTCTCACTAGAAACTACACCAAATGTGCAAAAACACACTAACTGTGACCACCAAGACACACTCTTTATTTTTAGCACATCTGTCACAGAATGGAAAGCGCTGGGATATTAAATGGCAGTGAAGGATACATCTATGCTGCCTTCAAAAATACATCAGTTGAAGGGATCTCAGGACACAAGATGTGAAGCTAACATTGGATTCGGACGTGTCTTGAGGCCTTCCTACCTTGGAACAGCATTTTTCAGTTTTCGCTTGCAACCAATGTCATTAATAACAGTATTAATCCAATTACAAGCAGTTTAGCATCTACTGTCGGAAATTGAAAATGCAGCCGGTCTGACCAGAAGACAAATCAATCACACTCAGCCTCAATGCCGAACTTGACACTGATTATCAATTCCACAGGTTTTAGAAAGAACAGCAAATCAACTGAAGGTTTCCAGGTCGGCTTCCCCATGCGAACCAACTACATGTACGGTCGTGTGAAGCGTACTCTGCTGCACGAGATCTTCTCCTTCACGCTGTGTTTGTGGATGAAGGCTGGAATCGGGCCTGGACTCGGAACGCCCTTCTCCTACTCCGTTCCAGGCCAGGCCAACGAGCTGGTGCTCATCGAGTGGGGAAACAACCCGATGGAGCTGCTCGTCGACGACAGAGTGAGTGAAAGAGAGCGAGAAACGAAGGAGATCTGAAGGAACGTGCACATAATTCACATAACACTCACCAATGCTGCATTTATTTGACCAAAAATACAGTAAAAACTGTAATATTGTGATATATGATTAGGGCTGGGTATTGAGACAAATTTTACAATTCGATTCGATTTCGATTCACAAGCTTGCAATTCGATTCGATTCAATATTGATTATTTTGGATATCAGTTACAATAAATGGCGATTTTTCTCAAGGAAATCAAATCTCTTAACTAATGCTGTAAACTATGGGAGTCTAGTTGTAGCCTATAGGCTTCATTAGCCTAATATGAAGGTAATAATGAATGAATCACTTAAATTACACTTTTATTTATTTTTATAATAAGAAGATTATATGAAATATAAACATTTAAATGGTGGCTGTCAAAAACTTGCCAGATTTATTCAAATATGCATTAAATATTGAAGAACATTAAGATTATAATGCATATGTAATATGGTGTATATATTTAGCAAAATGCTCCTCTCTGGAGTTATTTTTTTCTAGCTGACTAACGAGTTTATGTGGGTTTTCTGAGGTAAATGTGACGATACATGACATTGATTACAAGCTGTTTAACTGACGTCTTTCCACGGTTGAAACGCTGATTGAGCGAATCAATGTGACATGATACGGATTTCGATAAGTTGTACTCTATCTTTTAACACACTTTCAGACGCTCACTCATGTTTATTTCGCGCTGTAACTGGTATTAACCCGGAAGAGAGATCAGAGCTGCTGCTTCTCCAGAGCGATCTCACGCCAGAGTGATCTCACGCCACAGCGCCAAAACGTTATTTATGTTTTTGAGTTTCTAAAGAAAATGCACGTAATTTGAAAATTGAGACTTTGTTTCATATCAATAGTAACAAAGGACAAAGATTATTGCGATTTTTTGAATGCGCGCAGCCGCGATACAATGTCCCATTCATTCAAATGAAACAGGGTGACTAATCGATTCTTGAGACTTAAGAATCGATATCGGTTCGTAAAAATGAGAATCGATTAATATCGATAAATCGATATTTATTACCCAGCCCTATATTTGATTACTATTAAAATAGCTGTTTTCTATTTGGATATTTTGTAAAAATATCCAAATAGAATATATTTTGTAAATTTATAATACATTTTTAAATAAATTTAATTTAATATATATTTAATATTTTGTAAATGTATTCCTGTGATTCAACTCCATTTTTCAGTGTCACATGATCCTTCAGAATGCTCAAGAAACAGTTCAGATTTTTATCAGTTGAAAACTGTTTTTTTTTTCCCTGTGGAAATTTTATTTTTCAGAATTCTTAGATGAACAAGAAATAGAATATTTTTTAACATTATAAATGTCTTTACTGACAACTTTGAACAAAATCTAAATTGAAGCTAAATGTCTTTCATTAAAAAACACTTTTGGACGTAATATAACATTACGGCCGAAACCACAGGCCACATTCATACGTTTTGAGAATGACAACCACATCAAAATTATCAGCTCACTGGACACCACTGACTTTTATAGTATTTTATTTTTCTTTCGTAATATGAAAGTCAGTGTTGTTGTTTTTTACCAATATTCTTCAATATATCTTCTTTTGTGTTCAGCAGAAGAAAGAAATTCATACAGATTTGGAACAAATTGAGGGCGAGTAAATGATTTTCATTTTTGGGTAAACTATTGAGTCAGTACTGGAGTTAATTCAGTTGTCGAGTGGCATTGGAATGTGACTACTAGTGTGATGAAATTTAAAGAAAATATTTTTGGGTTTTAAAATTCCTTCAGCTCTCCTGCGATTTCCATTAACTGTCCAGTTAGACGGCTCAGTTGAATATTATTCTATAATATCTAGGTGTTAAATATGAATCAGAAAATCCTGTAGAAATTTCAGTTGAATCTTAGAGGATTCTCTTGTAATCCCATTTTTTATCATTGAGGCTTAATTATGAAATCAATTCCAAAAGGGACACCATTTCACATTTCTGAAGGATTTTTAAAATAGACATATGAAGGACATATGGTGATCATGGAAATTAACCGGGGCTTGGGGTAAAAAGGCCACCAAAATAAATAAAAAATGCCCCCAAAATGAGTTCTTGTTTTTAATATTTATGACAGGATATATATTATAGAGTGCTATTTTCCCGAATATCAGCACGATTGCAAATGTGAAAGCCACTGATTTCTGAACAGTTCAATAAACAAGGTTAATAGGTGATTTTCATTTTACACTTAGAACATTGTCTTTTTGAAACGGGCCTCCGAATTGCCAACCCGGTCTCATCCCAAGACGTCATATAACTGACGTTTTGGGACATCTTTTGACCATACGTCAATATTCGCCTTTTTAGGGGCCCCTTAAACGTCGGTTATGGGATCCTAACTCTACCCCATACCTAAACCTAACCCTAAACCTAACCCGTCACCTAACTGACGTTAAAGGTAAAGCGTCAGTTGTATGACGGCCCGGGATCGCCATCTACCGACGTTTAAGGGTACCCTAAAAAGGCGGATATTGACGTATGGTCAAAATACGTCCCAAAACGTCAGTTATATGACTTTTTGGGATGAGACTGTGTTAGAATTGCAAAGGGTGAAATAGAGGAGCACAACAGAAAGTGTTTATTAAGAGAATTATGTGTATCTTGCCTGGGATTCACAGGCTGTTCCTTTACCCCTCTCGCTGAGTGATGGTAAATGGCACCATGTGTGTGTGACGTGGTCAACACGGGACGGCCTGTGGGAGGCCTATCAGGATGGAGTGAAGAGAGGCTCAGGAGAAAACCTCTCCCCCTGGCATCCCATCAAACCTGGCGGGGTCTTCATACTGGGGCAGGAACAGGTAACGCTATACAAGCACAACATACAATCAGCTAAACTCATATTTCTCCTTTGACTTGAGCCATAGACAAACATCAGGAACACATTAGCAACTGCATAGCAACACCCTGGCAACCACCCATGACACTATAGCATTGTGGCAAAAGAATTGTTACTTAATTCAACTCCTCTGAGGACAAAGTACACTTAATTGTATTGAAAGCGCACTTAAAGTGTGCTTCAAACCTTAGTATATTTTTAAAAACGTAAACTTGCAGATAAGTACACTTAAAAAGAGTTCTCTTAGGACTAGGCTTCTTAGTACACTTTGTAATAATGTCAAATTAACCTTCATTTTACAGTGTAATTATTTAATTATAATACCTACATTTAAGTACTGAATAATATTAATTAACTACATCATTTGGCTTAGGCCTTAGGGTTTGGTGTATAGGTTAGCTGCTTCAGTAACACTTTATTTTACAGTGTCTGTTACATATACTTACCACATTAACAGTAAATTATGCATAATTACATGCAACTAACCCTCAACTAATCCTAACCCTATGTAAGTACATGTAGTTAATTACTCAGTACTTAAATGTATAATTACATTGTAACTACAACACCTCAAAATAAAGTGTATCCTTTGCTATCCTTTTCTGTTATTACTATAAGCACACACACACACACACACACACACACACATATATATATATATATATATATATATATATATGTAACATTAAAATATATTTTAGTTTACCAAAAATGCTTGTCGGTACATTCGGCAGTAAGACTTTAACCATATATTAGAAACGATTATTAAATTACATAAAGATATACTTTATAAGTGGGTCAAAAATGCACTCTAAAGTTAAGCCAACTGCTTTTAATATAAGTAAGCAATAGGAACGAGAGGCTGTGCTGTATCGTGAATAAGTAACGGCTGAAGGGCGTTGTTAGGCACGACGCGAAGCGGAGCCGTTACTTATTCACGATACAGCACTTGCCTCGAGTACCTTATTGCTTTTATAAAACGGTTGCCACACAACATTAAAGTAAAAAACAATGTTTTAGTGCAACTTTCTTGAAGTAAAATCACTAAAAGCCTTCCTTCCGCTAGAAAAAATAGTCCCTGACCGTAAACAGCAACAACGTTCCAATGTGTAAAATACATGAAAGCTCAAATAAAAACAACATAGAACCGCAGTGTTGCGCGGCGATCAATAGAACCGTCGGGTGAAGCGGTCATTATCGTGAATAAAGCACAGCTCATGACCAATCAGAATCAAGGATTCGAACTAACCGTTTTATAAGTTTACATAATACATTTTCATTAAGTTGCTATTAAAATGCGGTTAAGTGTTCAAAAACTTTACATTCAGTTCATACTTCTAAAATAAACTTCTTTTTCACAAGGAAAGTCATGAGACTTCATGCTCATAAATAAGCCAATGAAGTTGACTTCGCAAATAAAGAGCTAAGAACGAAGTCAAAGTAAGATGAAGCATCTGTTTAGTGTTGCTAATATAATCTCCATCCATGTTTTCCCAGGACACACTGGGTGGTCGTTTCGATGCGACGCAGGCGTATGTTGGAGAAATCTCAGACGTGCAGATGTGGTCTCACGTCCTCACGCCACATGACGTCTACAGCCTGGCTTCATGCGGTGGTCATATGACCGGTGACATCATCGCCTGGTCAGAGTCAGTGGTGGAGCTGCATGGCGGGGCCACCAAATACCCCTTTGACCCCTGTCATTAAAGAGCATCGCCGGGCAAAAGGACAACCCACGCACAAATCTCAGAGTGCAACATGTTTTAAATAAGCTTGTTTTGAAGCATTCGGATGATTTGTCACCTGGTTGCAATTTAAAATACGTCCACTATCACGTCAAAAACATTGCCTTCTGTTTACATACGAAAATCGGGTGATCCCGTGACCTCCAGGATTTCAACAGGGACCCGTTTTTGTATTTACGATGTTTTCATACTGAACTTTTTCCATTTGTGTTCTATAAATGGCACTTCAGTGTCATTCAATGTTCAATGCAAGTATATGACATATTGTCATAACTTGGATAGAAATCCATAGCTAAAAACGTAGATGTTTGTGCAAAAACTAGAAAAGCGGCTCAACCTGAGCAGTGAGTTGAAGTTGAAAGATTCGTTTTCTTGCACTGTAAGAAGAATCTAAAGATACAGCGATACCAAAGAGAAGAGTTACCAGGCTTTTGACCAGGCTAAGTGCACTGTTGTTGTGTTTGTGAACTGTTTTACTGTACTTGTCCAGATGTTACGGTACTTTACCGTACGGTACGTGTCCAGGCGTTTGGTGTTTTGAGCTTCACATAAAATGTAGTTTTAGTTTATTTATGAATCTACTGTAAATGTGTTATTGATTCAAAATAATACACTTTTTCACTGTAATGTTTGTGCATACGAATTTGTTATGCATTTACTCTTTGTATAGGCCTAACTTGTTTTCATTTGTTTAAAGATTTGGAAGCTGAAATGCAATAAAAGGGACTGATTTTGGAGGGATTTTTCTATAGCAATTTCATGGCTACTGACTAATAGAATTCAAAAATTTGCTTAATACTTTAAATGAAGATGATATTCATTGCATTTCCGAACTGAATTCTTTAGGCTATTGCAGTATTGATCAGCACAAGTCTTATGTCGGTCTCCATATTATTAGAAACTAGGCTAATTAAGCATGAAGTGCTCGATAAGGCCCTGCAGAAAACACTCCTGTAGTATTATACTGTAGTGTATCGATTCACAACAAGCTATCATCACTTACAGGATCTATACCAAAAATTGAGGGCCAGTTTGGATCCCCTTTTGCCTTCAGAACTGCTTTAATTCTTCATGGCATTGATTCTGGAATCATTCTTTAGAAATGTTGGCCCATATTGATAGGATAGCATCTTGTAGTTTTTGTGGGAGGCACGAAGCTCCCGTTCCACCACATCCCAAAAGATGCTCTATTGGGTTGAGATCTGGTGACTGTGGGGGCCATTTTAGTTCAGTGAACTCATTGTCATGTTCAAGAAACCAATTTGATATGATTCCAGCTTTGTGACATGGTGCATTATCCTGCTGGAAGTAGCCATCAGAGGATGGGGACATGGTGGCCATAAAGGGATGGACATGGTCAGAAACAATGCTCAGGTAGGCCGTGACATTTAAACGATGTCCAATTGGCACTAAGGGGCCTAAAGTGTGCCAGGAAAACATCCCCACACCATTACACCACCACCACCAGCCTGCACAGTGGTAACAAGGCATGATGGATCCATGTTCTCATTCTGTTGACGCCAAATTCTGACTACAAATTGTAGCCTCTACAAATTTTCCTATTTGTAGTGGAGATGAGTGGTACCCGGTGGGGTCTTCTGCTGTTGTAGCCCATCCGCCTCAAGGTTGTGCATGTTGTGGCTTCACAAATGGTTTGCTGGATACCTCGGTTGTAACGAGTGGATGTTTCAGTCAAAGTTGCTCTTCTATCAGCTTGAATCAGTCGGCCCATTCTCCTCTGACCTCTAGCATCAACAAGGCATTTTCGCACACAGAACTGCAGCATACTATATATATATACACACACTGACTCAAAATGAGGTTAGCAATAGATGTCTTAGCCATTCTGTCTTGAAGTTAACTAGATTTGATGTGTTGAGGGCTGAAATACATCTGTTCACGTATGGTACTGTGGCATTATGGGAAGACTGAGATTAAGCAGCACTAATCGTTCTACTTATCAGTCAGGATATGAGCTAACAAGCTAAAGCAGTGTAGGATGGAAAAACAACACACATATAGAAGTGTGTCCACCACCGGAAGACTGATGTTTAGACTATACAACCTACAAATCGGCCACGATTCTAAAAGAAAGTACACCGCAGTAAAGGGGCGACACTCTACAACATCAAGAGTGCAAAAAAATTTCACCCACCCCCACACACACACACACATACAAACACACTTTTATATACATACACACAAATAAATTCAGATTACAAAAAAATCTGTTCTGAATTTTTAAAAATCACAGCTTCATCTGAATGTTACGAAACTTGGTGACATTTCTGGCATTAGGGATGTGAACACACACACACACACCACAAATTAGTTCATGATCCGAGCATGCTAAGTGGTCGTAAAAAAAAGAAATAGTGAAAAAAAATGACCCCCATAGGAAATGAATGGGAAACACTTTTATCACTATTTCTAAAAAAAAAAAAAAAATCTAAAACTTAATAAGAAATCGTTTTTGCAAACAAAAAAGGTAAATGAGAGCTGTACATGCCATCTAGTGGTTACACCATGGTTCTACGCTTTTTCCTCTACACTGTAACCAGATGGTGCTACTTTTCTTCAAATTTTTTTATTTTTTTTTCCTGAAGGCCTAGAGTCTATATTAAACTAAAATACTGCATTAATATTTTTTTTTTCAAAACAATATATATATATATATATATATATATATATATATTTTCCATGGCAAAAATAGACCATAAATATTGCATAAATATTGATAAATTCAATCAAATTGTCTCAAAATACTAAATTAAAAAGAATAAATATTATAGAACAAAAATAAATTGCATTGGTTTTTACTGGGATGGAGGAAGTTTCATTTTTGGTCTCCGGTCACTTCTGACCATCAGAGGGTAAAATATCATCTTACTAAGATACAATATTGGCAGATATAGAATGACAACCACTAACATTAATATGCATTTTATGTAATTAGTCTGCTATAAAGATCTGAAAGCTATCAAAATGTCATTTTTACTTTAAAAGGTACTTAATGCATTATTTTTTGTAAATAACATGTTCCTGCAAACGCTTGTTCCCAGCCCTTATATTGCAACAGCCTCGTGACAATTCATAATTATTTTGGCAAATTTATGAATTTGTTAATGCTTACTTTTTTTTAATATACCTTTTTTTCTACGAATAACACAACATATGAGAAATAGAGGATAAATATTAATCTAATTTTGTAGGTTTACAAATATTTCCAAGTGTACCTTGTTGATAACAATATTCACCAGCTATTAATAAACACACACAGACAATGTGAATGTCTTTTATAAATCTTTTCGTTTATTAGAGTTGATTGGCACCAGTGTACCATAACTGAGTTTTCACTTTGCTACATGAATTTCAACAATCTGTTCCATTCTGTGGCCAATCAGAAACAGGGAGTGGGGGAAAGAAAGAAGAGGAGGAAACGCTTTCATTTGTCCTATCGAATTCACAGACTAGCTGAAAGGTTTTGGCACCTTCGCACTTCTCATCAAGAATGCCCAGATTTAGAGTCTCCAAAAAGTCATCAGAGTCGTTTCTACAGTCTTCATCAGACCACGTCATGCCCAAACTATTCGTTTAAACACATAGCTTATATCAAGGAATGTACTGTTGCACTCAGCAGTTTAATGCCATTTAACACTTGGGGAGTCTCTTCGCGGTCATATACGCGTGTCCTGTGGGTTAACATACAATACAACGTGAAGCAGGTTCACCTCAGATGATTTGAAGTGGACGCCGTATACGGGCATCCTTTGCGTGTGCAGCGAGGCTTAAACCAGTTAAGAACTGCAGTATCATGACATACTCATAGAGGGCACAAGAGAGTAAATCAGGCTGTCGTTTAGTCGAAACTGTGCTGAACTCTATATTAAAGTGCCATAGATCCTAACGCCAAACTATTAAATATGTCTTAAAGTCAAAGACATCGATTACTATAGCCAAGCTTTATATTAATCGGGAAAAATCACAAAAGTCAAGCAAAACGCACTGCTAAACAATTCTCAGTATTAACCATTTCATAATTAGTATATTTAAATAGCGTGGTTATTATTATTTTAGACTCCAGACGCTATTAGTGTTCTGTATAAATCGGCTTTAAAGATATTTAAAGGACATTCCTTATCGCTTTGTATCGATCAAGTACACGTTTTAATAGTTAGATGCTATGTGAACTGCAATGCCAATTTGCAGACTTGAGGTTTAGAAATACAGAACGCTAATAGTCGCCTTAGAAACACAGGCATCGGACCCACCCTTTACAAAAGATGCTTCAATTCGGTACAACATGCAACCCCCCGGTCCTTGTTTCTCAAAAAAAGAAAGAATTGGAAAAACAATAAATAAAAATGCTAGCGATGTGTGTAGTAAACAAAGATAACAACATGTATTTACAAACAGAAAAAGGCAAAATATAATGTACATTGGAAAAAAGCTGCCATGGACTCCTTCAAACTGAACAGCACTGAGTAAGAGGGAGTAACTAGTGTTTCACACAAATAACGATACAAGTACGTCTGGCACATATTTTAGGATCAGGAATTATATTAAACCATCGTTTTCATGTCTGGTTTGTGGGGGGTTAAGCAGCAGACACAGCACTCTTTCTCTGCTTTGGCAAACACACATTCTGAAAGGCCAATCGAGACGAGACAAACCTGTCAAATGTCATCCCAAATTAGAGTTAAACTTTACAATAAAGTCTTGTTTGTTATTAGCTAAAGGGATAGTTCACTTTGAAATTATTTTTTGGAATGTTTTAGCTTACCTCAAGGGCATCCAAGATGTAGGTGTCTTTGTTTCCACAGTAGTTTAAATTTTGATATTTTTAGGTCAAACCGTTCTTTTCTGTCAGTCATATAATGGAGGTCTATGGTCACCACCTCAAAGAGCATGCACAGAGAAGTCCAATTTAAACATGATTTAATGACTCGTAAATGTAAGTACACATTGATGGCCTAAGACACGAAACGAGCGGTTTGTGTGAGAAAACGAACAGTATTTATATATTTTTTACCTCTTGTAACCATAAGTCCAAGTGATCTGGGGCGCTTTGTTTCTATGGTTACAAGAGGTAAAAACGATATAAATACTGTTCGTTTTCTCACACAAACCGCTCATTTCGTGTCTTAGGCCATCAATGTGTACATTTACGAGTCTTGGACTTCTCTGTGCATGCTCTTTGAGGTGGTGACCATAGACCTCCATTATATGACTGACAGACAAGAACGGTTTGACCTAAAAATATCAAAATTGAAAATACTGCGAAAACAAAGACACCTACATCTTGGATGCCCTTGAGGTAAGCTAAAACATATCAACAATTAATTTCAAAGTGAACTATCCTTTTAACACAAACTAACAATGAACAATACTTCTATCGCATTTATTAATCTTAGTTAATATTTAATGCTCTGTGCACTAACTAATGCTAACAAAAGGGTTAGTTCACCTAAAAAAGGTAGTTAATTACTCTCGCTCATGTCGTTCATCTTCAGAACACAAATGAAGATCTTTTTGATGAAATCTGAATCTCCATCGACATATACACAACTAAAACTTTAACGATTCAAAAAGTAAGCTAAAAAACTAATCCATATGAATTTAGTCCAAATTTTCGGAAGAGTCGATCGCTTTATATGATGAACAGTTTCAAGTCTTTTATTCACATATAAACATTGATCAGCGAACATAAACAAGCTCAACCGTACATGATTGACGCACGAGAACGAACCTCATTGGTTCTTGCGCGTCAAGCGAACATTGAGTTGTGAGTTGATCAATGTTTATATGTGAATCAAAGCCTAAATTAAATCTGTTCATCATATAAAGCGATAAAATCTCTTTAGAAAAAGTGGACTAGTTTTGGATTAGTTTTACAATCTCTTAAAGCATCATGAAGTGGTAGTTGCGTAGACTGTCAATGGAGGGACAGAAATCTCTCAGATTTCATCAAAAACATCTTCATTTGTGTTCTGAAGATGAACGAACGAGTTTGGAACGACGTGAAGGTGAGAAACCGATGTCAGAATTTTCATTTTTGGGTGAACTAACTAGAGCCAGACCGATATATCGGCAGGCCGATATTAGGCATTTTCCAAACTATCGGTATCGGCAGTTATAATGGCCGATAAATCAATATTTCAAAAATAAATTAAAAACGGACGAAACACGCTTCAACCATGTCATGAGTGTTGGAGTTGTATAGTTTGTCCACCAGAGGGCACTCTACACCATCCCTATTGGCAACACTCGTTTATAACGCGCCGCACATTCTGCAAACTGCTGATCCAGCCAGATTCGGGCAGAGAGAACCAGTTATCCGCGAGTGAGATCATCGGTGAAGTGTGTTCATGGTGACCAACTCAAAAATTATCATATTATTTTAGATAAAACTCATAACTATAACTACAAATAACTAATGTTAAGGAAATCTGTTAATGTTTTGTTGCACGTTTCTGAAAAAAAATAAATAAATAAATAAATATCGGCCGATATATCGGATTTTAAAACCAACAAATATTCGTATCGGTATCGGCCTTCAAAATCCTTTATCGGTCGGGCTCTAGAACTAACCCTTTAACAAATGTGACCCAATTAAAATGTTACCAAAAATTAGATTTAATTCCGCCAAACATCAGGATGCATTTGGAAGGAAATGTGCTAAGTTAAGGGCAAAAAATAAATTAAATTAAAAAACAAAAATCTTGAAAACGAGTTAATTTCTTTTTGCACTTTTCTTTAGTGTACAATATAATCTGAGATTCCCCCAAGAACAGTTTTGCAGCACCAGTGGTCGAGTTCTCACTTTAAACCCAGTTGGTTTCGTTGAAACACTAGTAAAAACATTCAGAAACAGGGCTTGGGGACTTTTAAGGCTCTTTTCTCAAAGGTGGAGGAGCTTATTTAAGGACTCGCATACAATGAGATGTGTTTCTACAAATGCTTTGATAGGTCAATACAGTTGTCATCAACTGTGCACAGGAAATGACATCGCCGGCAGGTTTATCACTTATATATACCAATATTAGTCTAAAAATAAAAATAACTGATGGGATATGCTTAACTCAGTCTTGATATGTAGTGAGAACAGCAATGACCTTCATTAACATCTTCATTTATAACATGTGAATAAACTCGAACGAGTAAGAGATAAATAGTGTCGAGACGGGTAGCAGACAGACCCAGTAAATCAATAACAAAAGCCTTCAGTGCGAACGAAACATCCTGCTCATTTCTGCTAAAGGCTCGGTTGAATCGGTCCCTGACGATGGTGGTGATGAAGATACATCAGGCTGGTTGGTCATCTACCCTGTGTGTGTACGAACTTCACAGTAAAATGCTGGAAATAGCAGGAATGGTGGGCGGAAGCCACCGAATGTGAGAGCGCAGGAAGAAAAGGTGAACGTGATGAGGAGAGATGTGTCTGAATGTCATGTTTGTCGGTGATGGAATGTCAGCGTAATATAGTGTGGGACTACGAACTAGAGTGATAGTGAATAACACTGTGTAGTGTACAAGTGTATAACATAAGAGATGGGTTATTGTGCAGTCCAGACCAAAGATGATGACGTTCAGGTTTACCCAACGACATCCATCTCTCCATTAAACCAGCATTGTGGATTCTTCTGATGAGAGGACGAGAGCTACCTTAATGAAGTATCATTGGTTTCTAAGAGAATGGATGGAGTGTTTGGAAGGATGGAGGAGAAATGGAGGATTTCTAGGGTTGCTCCTCCTTCTTCTTTAGGGAAATGCGTTTCTTCCTGGCAGCAAGCATCTCGTAGAAGGGGTCGACGCTCACAGCAGATCTGCAACAGAAGATCGGGTCATAGATTTCCCATTTGACTCTATAATGCCTACTGTATCCACAAGTTTCCGAGGGGCGCTCCTGTAAAAAATAAAGTGGGTGAAACTTCCGGTGAGGCGGCGGAAGTAGCATTCCAATGGTATTTTGTGTGTTAGTTAGCCAAGAGGCTAGCTGTTTTTCAGAGAATTATTTTACTATTTAAAGACGCAAATCTTTATGAGAGATGTCGTTACGGAGCTCAGGGACAACATGTGCTGTTCGCGGTTCTATGTATAACCGGACTAAACTAATTCAGTGGCTTAAACGGGATTGTTTTGAACATAAGCCGAAAACGAAATCAGAGTGATCCTGCCAACGACTGTAGTTTCCATCACCTCCCAAAAGACGACGAATCTTCCTGTGTACATTTGTTTAAATTCTTAATATTCTATAAACTCTATCAGCATGTGATTGGCTGTTCGCTACTGATGTTACACCTAAACTCACGATCAAAGCCTGTGTTGACAGAATACCAAATGTGCCAGTTAATGTATTCAAGTAACGCATTCATTTATAATTTTTAATAAACTCCCAAGCACAATGACTAAGTGTGTATTTTTATTTTAATTGTTTGTCAGCTCACACAACTGTCTGTCACCATGCCTTGATGAGTATTGATTATTAATAATGTTATTATAATACTCCCAACCCATAGACATATACACTAGACCAGTGTTTTCCAACCCTGTTCCTGGCGGCACACCAACACTGCGTGTTTTCTTTGTCTCCCTAATCAAACACACCCGATTCAACCCATTAGCTCATTAACTCTGATTATGAGCTGATAAGGGAGACAAAGAATACACGCAGTGTTGGTGTGCCGCCAGGAACAGGGTTGGGAAACACTGCACTAGACGTCACCTAGATACGGCAGTTCATTGGAACGAATGCGTCAATAGAGCCGCCATCTTGAAACAGGGGAGCCCCTCCACTTTAATGCATCAGCGTCAATGTAGTAGACACAGGTCTAACGGAAATAAAATCACCATAAATCATCGTGAATGCGATTTTTCTTGTTTTTTTGGTTTGTTCAACAGTCAGACATGTATTTCTCATTGATTCCAGAAATAAACTATTCTTTTTTTTAAAAAAAAAACATTCTTCCTAGTTCAGATTTCATCCGTGAACATCATACGCTGCACAAAAGTCCGCCACCATCAATGAATTCGAAATAAAGGCAGAGATAGCAGCGTTACCTAGCTACTTCCTATGACAAGACCCCTGTTCCAAGATGGCGGCGGTTTTGACGCATGCTTAGAACCCCAAGGTGACGTCTAGTGTATATGTCTATGCTCCCAACCAAGTAACTGCGGAGGGTAAAGGTACTGTTATTTCACCCTTTTTAATTTCGTTGAGGTTGTGTTCCCACATCGTTAGCTAGTTTGGATCGCTATAACTTGAATGACTGTCAACTGTTGAATGAACGAGTGTGAAGTATGTCAAGTCCATAGACAGGTCAAGTCGCGTTTTGTTTACTTCGAACCGGAAGACACGCCCACTTTTGACGCAAGGCCTCATGAGTCGACAAGAAATTGTCGACAAATATATTTGTTGTCGAGTAGTCGTTTAATCTCACGTGACCTAATGTGAATCACCTGATTGGTTAACGCGGCGCGAATTTGACGGCAAAGTTCAGATTTTTCAACTCGGGCGGCAGACGTGAATTCGCGTCAAACGCGTGAATGCACAAATGGCACTAACTCAATTATTCACACGCAACATGTTTTACGTTTAACACTGAAATCATTCGCGCTATTCGCATCCGGTGTGAAAGCACCATAAGGGGGTGCAATATCACGATTTGACCGCTACGGCACTGTAGCGCTAGTGTAATGCAGCCCTTTACAAATGCTATAGCGGTAAAAGGAAAAAAACTGCACGAATTATGACGGAGTGCAAATGAATCCGAACCAGCAAGGTTTGGGAAAGTTTCACAAAACTTCAAACCAACAATGCTGTCGTGTGCAATACATGCAAGGCGGAACTTGCTTTTCACGGGAGCACAACATGCATGTTGGAGCACTTAAAGAGGAAACATCCCGGAAAAAGAGGAGCCATTGAGGCAGTTACATATCATGGCAGTTACTTTTTCTTTTTCATACTGTAAATTAAAAGGTGAATGAGAACATCTCTGTCAGCTCAATTTACATCTAAAAAAAATTGTAATTTTACACTTATAATAATGGTTGGCAGATTAATATTTTACCATTCGTTGTGTCCTGAAGTAAATGTCCCTTTTACTGTTTTAGCTCTAATAAAAGCAGTGGTCCTATTCAACAATGCTTGAGAGCATTTGTGTGTGATTTGAGTTGGACCGAAATCTGAAAACTTAGAGAACAACCAGTTTAGTTGGCTCAAAGTACATTAACTACTATTTTTAACTATTTCAAAAGCTAATTTTCTTTTTATATTATAGTAAGAATATGTATAACTCAATGTTTTAACTTATTGAAAAATCTGAATAATCATGCCATGCCTACTGACTAGTCGGTGAAATAATCGACGATCAGTCGATTAATCGCCCTAAAAATCGTTAGATTAATCGATTATCAAAATAATCGTTTGTTGCAGCCCGACTGTTTAATTTTATACAAATTTCAAAGGCCTCTAAATTATATATATAAAAAAAGTCTTCTGATTGATACTTTATAAAAATCAGTACAGATTTCACAGCACAAAGTAAAATAGCTTTTAAATTGTTAGTGATATTTCAAGATGAACACTTACTGGACTGTTTACTTGATTATCCATACATCATTTTTTTTTATAAAAATCATCTCTCAATCATCATTGTGCTGCATTCCATTAAATGTTTTAAAAAATAAGTATTTCAAATTCATCTTACAATCAAGACATATTATTGGGAGATATAGAGTGAAAACTGATATTTATATGATTTTATGTAAGTATCTGCTATACTGTTATAAAGATCTCATTGATTTACAGTACAAGCTATCAGAATTTCATCTTAGCATAAAAATATCTGCATCTGCAGCAAATTCCACATTTGTGGGCCTGAGCTGTTTTTCCTCCTCTAATATGAGCTCCATAGTTTCACTAAATCAAAAAATAAGAGCCATAAAAGCCTGACGCACTATGATACTCAAACATTATCAAACACATGCAATTTTGTCTAAAATTGTTCCATTAAAAATAAAAGAAAAAAAAAAAAGATTTTTTTGACTATTGTTTCATGTAAGACAGGCTAAACATGTTGGGGAGGGACATATTGGAAGGCTTAGGAGTGCAAAATTTACATTTCAAATATTTGTATCTGTTATTTTTGTGCCCTGAGGAGTATAGTAGCATATACCCTGCTATTCCCATCAGGAAATGCAAATATACTTCAGATAAGTACACAAATACTTGTCAGAGGCTGATAAAACCTAGCACTGCCTTCAGTGTGTACATTATTACAGCATTTGAGCCCCTTTGTCAGGTCGTTCTTTACTCTTTCGAATGCCTTGTCCTCTGAGATCTTTAGAAACCCCCTCGAGTATCTTCATTCAGAGGTTTACTCACTTGATGCTGTGTATCCATTCGTCCTTTTCCTCTGGGGTGGGAGCCGAGATCCGGTACACCATGTGGTTTCCCTCCACCACACGTCCATCAGCTTCGGTCTTACACGCTTTAATCAGCTGTCCGCGATTATTGGGGATGTACAGCTCAAAACAGTTCTGCACACAAAAAAAACAACACCATGAACAAACAGCCCAGCCCTAATGGTAAATAAAATAATCTATAGTTGATATGAAAATTATACTTGAAATTGGTCTATTAGATTAGGTGGATTCAGCTTACTGGCTTTCTGGGATCTTCGACCTCTCGAATGCTCAGGTTCTCCAATGGTATGATCCCTCTGGGCTCCTTGTCCTAAAGACACACAGACACTCAGTAAATCAGTCAGAACTTCCAATCAGGGGTCAATTCAGTCCCGTGGAGTACACACTACCATTCAAAGGTTTGAGGTCAGTAAGTCTCTCATGTTCACCAAGGCTGAGTGCATTTATTTGATCAAAATACAGTAAAAACACTGAACTATTATTACAATTTAAAACAGCTGTTTTCTATGCGAATATATTTTAAAATGTAATTTATTCCTGTGATCAAAGCTGAATTTTCAGCATCATTACTCCAGTCTTCAGTGTCACATGATCCTTCAGACATCACAAAATGCAAATTGTAGCTCAAGAAACATTTCTTATTATTATTATACTGCTTCATATTTTTGTGGAAACTGATACATTTTTCAAGATTCTTTGATAAATAGTTCAAAATGTTATTGATTTGAAATATAAATCGTTTGTAACAAATGTCTTCACGATCACTTTTGATCAATTTAATTCTAATAATATGCAGCACAAACAATTATTACATGGCTCTCTCTAGAATATTTGATTCTGATTGGTCATTTTGTACAATCTAAAATTCAGACAATTTTTATACATTTACTTGTTATTTACAGCCATTTTATACAAAAGTATTACAAAGAGCTGTGTATTAAGATGAAATATTGCTATTTTTGACTTACTGTTGTGTACTCAAAGTAATAGAGGCAGTTATCTGTCAGAATGAACCACCGTCTCTTCCATGTTTTCACGCGACCTCCTGAGAAAGAGAATTACACTAGATTAGAGATGTAAGACAGGCGTTTTAAACTTTAAACTTCCTCTGTCCGCCTGCAAATGAAACTGCACAGACACAGCAAGAAATATTGACACACATGATATTATCAGTAGAGTGAAAACCTGGAAAAACCCAACTAAATTCCTACTAAACTAACTTTACAGGATTTTTACATTTTCTGCAGATTGGTGAGTGATGTTTGCTAGTGCAATATATATATATATACGTATATATATATATATTATATATATATATATGTGTGTGTGTGTGTGTGTGTGTGTTAGGAGAGGTTGCCTGCGTACAATGACACTTCTTTTGTGTTTTGGTTGGTGGTTGTGTAGAGGTAAAAGTCAAAAGTGCTCACAGCCTCAAACCTTTATGAGAATACACACTATATTCTATATGGCGTTTTGGGACACCGTACCATTACACCAACAGGGACTATATCTAAACTCTAAAAGGAGTCGGTCCTCCCTTTGCAGTTATAAGTTTCCACTCATCTGGGAAGGCTTTCCAGAAGTTTTTGAGTGTTTCTGTGGGAATTATTTGCCCAGAGGTCAGGCACTGTTGTTGGATGAGAAAGCCTGGCTTACAAACTCCATTCCAGTTCATCCCAAAGGTGTTCGATTGGGTTGAGGTCAGGGCTCTGTGAGGGCCAGTCCTCCACACCGAACTCATCCAACCATGAAAAGAAAAGGGGCTTCCCTGAACTCTTCCCACAAAGTAGTCTAAAATGCCTTGATATGCTGAAGCATTATGTTTTCCCTTCACTGGAAGTAAGTGGCATAGACCAACCACTGAAAAACAGCCTCATACCATTACCCCTCGTCCACCGAACATTGCAGTCAGGCAGGCATCCGCCAAAACAAGAATTGCCCATCATACTTCCAAAGAGAGAAGTGTGATTCGTCACTCCAGAGAATATGTTTCCGGAGACGATGAATAAGGGTCTTATCAAGGACCCTTCGAGTCATGACTCGAAAAAAGATTTGTTAATTTTGATGAACGAGTTCGAACAGGAGAGTCACGAACGCTCATCACAGAACAGAGCAAGGCGAGCACTTGTGCTTATAAAACTTAAACTTTTTTATTGATTTTTTTAATGAGACCCTTATTCATCGTCTGGTGTCGTTTAAAGCCCTTTGAAGCTGCACTGAAACTCTCGTTTGGACCTTGAACCGTTTGGTTCCCAATGAAGTCCATTATATGGAGAAAATCCTGGAATGTTTTCATCAAAAACCTTAATTAAGGCAGGGGCGGGACTTTTTTTTGGATGGCCAAACCATGTGGCCAATCACATGGGTGGACAGACTAGGATCATCCCATTATGTGAAAGAAGGAAGGGGGACACACGCTCATTAGATAGCGAGTGTAGTGGTACAGGCCAGGTACATAGAGCGACAGAGAGAGGCAGGGGAGCCGGATTTAAATGCAAGTGCGTTGGGAGAAAGTGAAGAAATGAGCGAAAAAGAAGCAGCATCTGGCTGCATTTCAATGATATTGGAGACTTCTCAAAAACAGGACAAATGATCACAGAGGAGAAATCACATCAGCCCATCCAAGCTGAGGCAGGTTTTATTGAAATGGTAAATTATAGTAAGTGTATTTTTTTTGTAATGAAAAACTGCACAAAAATAAGGCTTTTATGAAAACACTGAATAAAAAATTGCTTACCAAAACACAAATCATTCACAATTGCTAAAATAGTCCAAAATAGGAGGCTCCGAGTGATACTAAATGAATAGTCATTTGGGAGCCAAAATAGCCGAAACTTTGAAAACAGACAGACTTCCCATCCCTAGTTGACCGTGGAATATACAGCAGTGATGAATATTTCATGAACTGACTAATTGCAAAGGTGGCATCCTATCACAGAGTTACGAGACCAGTGCGTCTCACAGGTGTCGCTCATCGGTAATCACGCCACTGGCCTCGCGCCGTTCTCCCGCGGCCCTCGCTCGTCCCGCTCGCCACAGTAAACATGATGAATGGCGACTGAAGCACGCAAAAGCCGAATCCCGGACATTTTGGCCGATCTCGAAACACATTTTCGGTCAGACTCATCATGGAGACTCACTAGTAGCCTAGACTTGTTGTTTAACCACTGCGCTCAGTTACCGGTAGGCGTGGCCTCCTAGGGCAGCGAAGCAAGTGCATTCTGGGAGTTGTTGTCTTTCATCCACATAAACCAAAAATACATTGTCTGGCTTTTCTCAGTCTAGAAAACTCCAAATTCTAAAATAATTTCACATTTCTTCTACATAAATGACCCATTTTAAATACACATTCATCTTTCCAGAGGTGGAGTATCCCTTTAAGAACTAATTTGGCCAAGTTTATGCAACTGGCGCCAGTAGTGATGGGTACTTTTTGTGGCTAACTAGAAATTAGTCAAGAGGTAATCAGTCTTACTTTTCTGATTCAAATTAGATTTACCCTTTTAAGTAACTGACTTTAAAAAGTTAGCACCAGTCTTAAAGAAATAAATTAGATGAGTGACGTTTAAGACTAGACTAAGCAGTAGGGCTGGTTAATGAGACAAATTTTACAATTCAAATCCATTTTGATTACGATTCGATTCAATATCGATTATTTTGGATATCAGTTACAATAAATGGCAATTTTTCTCAAGGGAATTAAATCTCTTAACTAATGCTGTAAACTATGGGAGACTAGTTGTAGCCTACTAGGCTTCATTATTCTAATATGAAGGTAATAATGAATGAATCACTTAAATTACACTTTTATTTATTTTTATAATAAGAAGATTATATGAAATATAAACATTTAAATGGTGGCTGTCATAAAAACTTGCCTGATTTATTCAAATATGAAGGTAATAATGAATGAATCACTTAAATTACACTTTTATTTATTTTTATAATAAGAACATTATATGAAATATAAACATTTAAATGGTGGCTAACATAAAAAACTTGCCAGATTTATTAAAATATGCATTAAATATTGAAGAACTTTAAGATTATAATGCATAATGTAATATAGTGTATATATTTAGCAAAATGCTCCTCTCTGGAGTAGTGTTGTCAAAAAACTCGGTACTTCGGTACCAAGTCGGTACTAAAAAAAAAAAAATGTTACGGTACCAGCTTTTCTAGGTACCGAGTACCAGGTTAATCCAGTTGTTCTAGACGCGATGTCTGAAACGTGCACAGTTGCGTCCTCTTCATAACGCTGATATGGCTCTCTCTCTCTGAATCCACTTGTTGAAACGAAAGGAGGAAAGAGCCACATATGGAAATATTTTGGATTAGGCTAATGTCACGTTGCCATAAGAGGCCGATTACATGCAAATTCGCAATTTCAAATATAGGCGCGAGGCAAGCGCGCTCCTAATAAAAACTCATTGGCGTTGCATAGCAACGACAGACGCCGCGTGAAAGCAAGCTAGCGCTTTGGAAAGAATAAGCACGCGCAAAAATATAATTAAAAAACACGCGCGACATGTGAACGGCCTCTGAAGTGCTTTCGGGGTAGTTTTACGAGTACATGAGCACAGTAGTATCCACCCGACACCAGAGTACTACTGGTATTAGTATTGTCATTTAATGTCAATGCCAGTTCTAGGCGTATTCTTGCCTTTATAACTCAGCAGGTTTAAAAAGCCTTTTTAAAATTAAATATGAATGCAGTTTTAGATTAATAAAAGGACAGTCAAGTCAAATAAAACATGTTTTATGGTAATGCTACAAAAGATACCATTCATAAACATTACTTAGTTATCAACACATTGAGTGAACAATATATTTTTACAACATTAATTAATGTTTGAAAATGTTATTTATTACAAACACCTGATTGTTCATGTTTGTTCACTTAATTCATTGTGCATTAAATAAATAATGGATTAAAACTTTACAAACAACTTTAAAAATTTGTTAGTGTATACTATTGTTTATTTTAGGTCATTTTATCTAATCTTTTTCTAAAGTGTTTATAATACAAATGTACAGTTTCCATACTTGTAACCGTGATAAACACTTAAATATATGTAAATTTAAACTAAGCTTTGGTACCGAAATTGGTACCGAGAACCGTGAATTTTAACTGGTATCGGTACCGAATACTGAAATTTTGGTACCGTGACAACACTACTCTGGAGTTATGTTTTCAAGCTGACTAACGAGTTTATGTGGGTTTTCTGAGGTAAATATGACGATACATGACATTGATTACAAGCTGTTTAATTGACGTCTTTCCACGGTTGAAACGCTGATTGAGCGAATCAATGTGACATGATACGGATTTCGATAAGTTGTACTCTATCTTTAACACACTTTCAGATGCTCATTCATGGTTATTTCGCGCTGTGACTGGTATTATTAACCCGGAAGAGAGATCAGCGCTGCTGCTTCTCAGCTGCGCCAGAGCGATCTCACGCCACAGCGCCAAAACGTTATTTATGTTTTTGAATTTCTAAAGAAAATGGACGTAATTTGAAAATTGAGACTTTGTTTCATATCAATAGTAACAAAGGACAAAGATTATCGCAATTTTTTGGACGCGCACAGCCGCGATACAATGTCCCATTCATTCAAATGAAACAGGATGACTAATCGATTCTTGAGACTTAAGAATTGATATCGGTTCGTAAAAAATGAGAATCGATTAATATCGAGAAATCAATATTTATTACCCAGCCCTACTAAGCAGTTTATGCAACCAGCCCCTGATCAAGTAGTAAAGTAACAGCACCCCTCTCTGCAACAACACACATGATTTGAGGAATCAGACAATCCCTACAATAATGATAATGCTTTGCAAACATCACTAATAAGATCATCGTGTCCTAATCTGAGCGGGCCTTCTCTACGAGTTGTTCTAGTAAGGCTGTACGTACCTCCTGAAGGGTGAACAGCCCCAGCAGACGCAGAGAAATCACAGGACAAGCAGAGCAGGAGCCAGAAGAGATCGAGAAAAGGGAACGGCGGGGACGGATCACAGGAAACAGATAGACAGAGGAGAGGGAGACACAGGGAGAGGGAAACAGATTCAAAAGCTTTTAGTGCTTAAGAGATCACAAGAGCTCGCCATGCAGATTTGCAGAAAGAAAGTAAATCTTTGAAATTAGAAGTGATGTTTCGCTTGGGTTTTTTTTTTTTAAGGAGAAAAAAAAGTGCAAAGCGCTGCAATGAAATAAAATATCATGCGATGGCAATGATAGAGACCCTTCCAACGACTTTGGTTAAACAGAAAGTCTCCTGGCGCACATCAGGAGGGACTCACCCAGCTTGAGGAGCCAGCCTTCTCTGTCAGGGTTGAAGAAAGTGTGCGTCAGGTCATTCCCATCATCCTCTGGGATCTTAAAAGGCTCGTTCTTAATGCTGTCATACAGATTCTGAAGAGAACACTCACATTGTTTTATAAAAGCATTCAATGTGAATAGTTATTTTTAAAAAAGCCTTGAAACACTCAACAATTTGAAGCAGCATAGAGAACGGAAGTAGAGCCCAGGAAACGGTTGATTAAAACTGTAGTAATTTTCAGTAATTAAAAAAGCAGGTTTAATTTATTGAGCTTGTGAAACCTACATAATTTAACAATTTATTAAAAGATTATAAAACATAACATTCTTAGGGCCCTATGAAATCCATTTTATTTCCACCCCCAAATTATGTTTAATTATTTCTAAATTCTGTTTTTCATTTAAATTTTTTTTTTTATGGCTCGATTCAATTTTAATAAATCAAAAAGCATGTCTAAACAATTCAATAAATAAAACTTTAACATTTAATACAAATTTTTCAGAATTTCGGTTTTAGCTGGATTTATTAAAAAAATGAATCAAAAACAGTGGTAATCTAATGAAAGCATAAAGCAATAATGCATCTTTTCAAAAGTAATCAATACAAAATGAACATTTTTTTTTTTTGAAAAATACAATGCTGCACAAAAGAGAAATATGATATTCCATACTGTAAATACTGTCCATACTGTACCGCCCTAATCATGCAATCCGTCAAAAAGCCAACAATATTTGTAATATAAAATACTAGGCTTATTTGACAACTACATTAGAAAGCAAGTAGGGATGCACCGAAATGAAAATTCTTGGCCGAAACCGAAAACCGAAAAAGAGGAAACCAAAGCCGAAAACCGAAACACCGAAAGAAATTATGCCAATTATTAGTATCATTGCATTTATGGCTATGACTGTGTACAAACTTTACTAAAATCAAGGCATTGCAATTGCATAAATTAATATAAGATATTCAAAGAATAAATCAATTACAAATTATGCAAATATTTCTTTAGCACAATGCACAGTATAAAATAAAATTCAAACTAAAATGTTTTTGACCCCACTCATCCACAGGCCTGCAGAAAGGTTTAAAAATGAAATATTCTCTCATAAAAACAAAGCCGAGATCGAACTTCTCATCACACCAGCACCCAGTTTGCACGTCTAAATTGGTTGCATTTTAAAAATTTAGCATAATCATTTTGTATTAAACATGGACCTTTGTTCATTTAAAATGTACATGAAACTTAATGAAACTTGTTTAGTGAATGTAGAAAATATTTAAGAGAGCATTAATTTAGTTCTATACATACATGTTCCCATATACATATTTTTTTTGTAATGGCACAAGTAATAATCTCAGGCTTTACTGGGTTTTACATGATTATTTTTGTATTGGTGATGGAAAACTAAAAAATAAACATTGTCATGCGTTTATCTTTCTTCTTCTCACCGATTCCTGATGGTTAGAGGACAGTTACTTGAGTCGTCCCGTCGTTTCAAGGAATAGTACAACGGCGAGCGGGTCAAGTATAAACGCCTCGACCGTTTGGAGCGGTGCGCGCGCTGTCTGTAGAGACTCGCGCTCCCCTTGTTTATACTTTCATCTGCCTCCGCAGCGCGAGTCTCCACAGAGAGTGCGCGCACTGCTCCAAACGGTCCAAACGCGCATTGTTTATAGGTGGATAAGATTTCCGTCTCCTCGCAGGTTCAGATACACTGAAATACGTCCACACCGCAGACATGTTGCTTCAGACAAGCACGTGCAGGTCGCGATTTCTGTTTGCGTCATCACAACATTTCGGCCGTATTGTTTCGGTGATAAAAGTCTTTCGGCCGAAAACCGAAAATGCACTATTGGGCCATTTTCGGTGGCCGAATATTCGGTGCATCCCTAAAAGCAAGCTAGAGAAGAGAAGAGAAATGTAGAGAAGACTTTTGATTTATTAAACTAATTCATCAAATTCAGTAACATTTTGTGTTACTTCTACAAAATTCTATTTTTATGACTGGATTCCATAGGACCCTGCTGAAGTCATTAATTTTCATTATTTTATAGGAGAGAAAAAAAACACGCACAAAGAAAAACAACAACACACAGTTCGCCTTTTAAAATCAATAATGTTGATGTATTTATGTAACAGCATTTTTATTACAATATACTAATCATATAAGGCGTTTACATCATTTTTTATTCACACACGTGCTCCAAACTACATTTTACAGCTCACACACATCTATTTTTAGTCGCAATGAAGTGAAACGATCGAGCCATGTAAGACATAACGACACGTTCACACTCACTCTGAGCAGATCCTCTGGTAAATCCCCCCCGTCATTGATGCCTCTGTTCATGCTGATGAATCGCTCCACTGTGGGCTTGTCCCGCACGTTGGGGTTGTGCAGACTGGTGTTCAACATGATGATGGAGAACGACAGCACGTAACAGGTGTCTGCGGGGACAAGACAGAGTTTAAGGACTGAGAGATGGAATGGATGTTTTTCACTGCAAGACGAAGAAGTCTCTCGGACCAATCAGGGATCTGCAGTGTTTACACGTCACATTTCAGTATCGGTTCGGCTCGCTTGGAACCTCAACAGAGGTTGTACTCATGCTATTTAAAGGCACACCATGCAAGAATTGTACCTTAAAGGGATACTCCACTTTTTTTGGAAGTAGGCTCATTTTACAAGAGTTGAACAGTTGGGTTTTACAGTTTTCGAATCCATTCAGCCGATTTTCTGTTATTTAGAAGAATATCAGTAACCAGACAGTTTCTGGTCTCATTGAATTCCATAGTAACGCAGTAAGCAAGCGGTCTGGGGTAAAAAAAAGTTCCTATGAAAAAAGTTCCTAGGACAAATAGTTACTGGTAATTGTGGAAACGCAGCTTATGTGTCCATGACACTTGAATTTAAATGAATTTAAAAACACATTTTAGCGCTAGATCTCTTATTTAATGCAAGAAATGCACACTACGCAAGATTTGTACCTTAATATAACAGCTTCATATAGGTATCAGGCTGTGAGTGCAGAGACGCTCTGCGTAAGTGGTATTTACGACAGTAACGTTAAATACAAGTACTCCACAGCGACTCTAGGGGTCGCTGTTTGACCAAAACGGAATTGCTGCATAGTGTGCCTTTAAGTAACCCGTACCATGCAGAGGAAAACACCATAACTAGACACACTTACTCAATTATGACTATTTTGAGAACCTTAGAATCAAAATGATGAAATTACACAAATGTGAGCTATTATATGTTGTGATAAAAAGCATGTGGAATAGTTAGTGTACATGTTGATTAAAGCCTCAGGAGCTGTGTGTGTGTGTGTGTGTGTGTGAGACCTGTGCTCTGGAAGACTCCAGGATTGCAGTGACAGTATCTCTGTGCGAAGGCCTCCATCATCCTGTCGATTTTCTGAGCCTCGCCTGGTAAGCGGAAACTCCACAGAAACTGCCTGCGTTGAGCAGGAACAGACAGATGCACCATAAAAACAAGCACAACACAATAACATATGAACATACGAAACTGTTTTGCATGCAAAAAGCCTCAATACTAAATGAACAAGATGTTCCTTGACTAGTCAGGGTTATTTTCGTTAACTAAAAATGTTAACAAATTAAATTAAATGTAAATATTAGTTAAATTATTGTTAGAAATGTTGTCTTGGCAATAAACTGAAATAAGTTTAGGTGTAGTTAAATACTAAAATTATTAACTGGAAATTAAAAAAAAATAAAACTAACTAAAATGCACGGAGGCGTATTGCATTCACTTGAAGAAAAAAAATCTACTCTGTTTTTCTGAATTAACGAGTTAATTTTTCATGCGAAAAAAAATTGCTCTGTTTTTCTGAATTAACGAGTTAATTTTTATTGAGAAAATTTTTTTTTGCTCTGTTTTTCTGAATTAATGAGTTAATTTTTCATGAGAAAAAAAATTTTTGCTCTGTTTTTCTGAATTAACGAGTTAATTTTTCATGAGAATTTTTTTTTTGCTCTGTTTTTCTGAATTAATGAGTTAATTTTTAATGGATTTTTTTTTTGCTCTGTTTTTCTGAATTAATGAGTTAATTCAGAAAAACAGCAAAAATAAATTTTCTCATGAAAAATTAACTCATTAATTCAGAAAAACAGAGCAAATTTTTTTCTCATGAAAAATTAACTCATTAATTCAGAAAAACAGAGCAAAAACTTTTTTTCTCATGAAAAATTAACTCATTAATTCAGAAAAACAGAGGAAAAAAAATTTTCTCATGAAAAATTAACTCATTAATTCAGAAAACAGAGCAAAAAAAATTTTTCTCATGAAAAATTAACTCGTTAATTCAGAAAAACAGAGTAGATTTTTTTTTCAAGTGAATGCAATACGCCTCCGTACAATACGCCTCCGTAAAAATGAGAATAAATTAATTCAAAAAAAAAAAATAGCTAAAACAAATGGGAGAAAAAATATGAGGCACATAATGAAACTACTGAAAACTAAAAATAAAAGATATATCAATACCAAACAAAACTAAAATAACACTGAGGAAAGTCACAAAGTTTGAAGTTGCTGATTTACCGAAGTGCTTGTACCAAGTTCAGATCTGTGAATTCGTGAAGATCAACAAAAGCCTGCAATACTTTAATATTGAAGTCATCTCTGAAAGAGAGAGAGAGAAATGTACATAAACCATTAGCAAAATCTCTGTTTAAATCCCTGATCTATTATATCTTATTATAAATCTTTTATTATGATATAATAAATCAGTAGTTGAAATATGCTTGTTGCTTTAGCTGTTAGAGCTTAAGTTAAACGCTTAGTTCACACACAAATGAAAATGACTGCATGATTTACTCGCCCTCAAGCCATCCTCTGTGTATATGACTGCATGAGTAAACCATTTTTGCGTGAACTATCCCTTTAAATCCTCTCAGAAAAGTTTCTTTAAATTCATCTCAAATGCACCTCTGCTTTGAAGCAAAAATTAAATGTTGCTTATATGTTATTGCACTTCTTTTTCTTACGGTAACAAATAAATACATTTAAAAATCACTGATATAATGCAGTTGAATTGCAAAGTACCTTTCACCCAAATAGTCTCCGATTGCAGTTTTATTGAGTCCTTCTCCTTTGTACAGAAACTGAGCGATGTCCTCTGAAGTGTGTCTGAGAAGCTCGTTCTCCACTAGGAATACAATCCCCTGTGAAAGAAGAACATGTAAAAAATGAAGAAAAGATTCAAATGTAATTTCCCACATTTCCAGCCACAAAATGTCTTTAAAGGGACTATGTGTAACTTTTTATGTAATTTATTATTTCAAATCAATATTTTTATTCATAAATATGTCCTCAATGGTGTACAAATACATCTGCCAATTATCTGACTTATCCTCGCAAACGAAGAATTTATTATATCTATATACATGGGACGGGTAAGGCTTCCATGTAGTTCCGCCATCTTGAAAAAACTATAATAGCAGAGAGGGACATAAAGTACTAGGCAAACGCATTCCGCGTGGTCGTTCAGCGCCAGCATGAAGCGGAGGAGCAGAGCGGTAAGAGAGGCGCGTCACTGTTTAAAAACTGCATTGCAAATCCTCGTCGCCAAAAAAGTCCAAAAATAGATTGTAAAAGGAAACGTGACCGTAAATTACAAAACACACGAGTTAATATCGGGATAGCTTTCTCCAGGTGGACAGAGCTAATGCAGGAGAAAGAGCTTTCTTCTCGGCACGTAAGGCAATGTTACGTCTTAATTACAAGCTTTTTTTTTTTCATTGTTTGGTTGTGTACTTTATTATATAGTCAGATGAACATTTATAGTTAAAAGTTGATGATATCTAATACACATAGGCTACTTCAGAAAATATAATTAGGGATGCACCGAAATGAAAATTCTTGGCCGAAACCGAAAACCGAAAACGAGGAAACCAAGGCCGAAAACCGAAAACCGAAACACCGAAAGAAATTATGCCAATTATTAGTATCATTGCATTTATGGCTATGACTGTGTACAAACGTTACTAAAATCAAGGCATTGCAATTGCATAAATTAATATAACATTTTCAAAGAATAAATCAATTACAAATTATGCAAATATTTATTTAGCACAATGCACAGTATAAAATAAAATTCAAACTAAAATGTTTTTGACCCCACTCATGTGTACATTAAATAATAATCTAATGGCCTGCAGAACGGTTTTAAAATTAAATGTTCTCACAAAAAAACAAAGCCGAGTGCGAACTTCTTCTCATCACCCCGGCACCCTTTGCACGTCTAAATTAGTTTCTTACATTTTAAAAAATTAGCATACAATAGCATAAAAAGCCTTTTTAAATGAACAAAGGTCCATGATTAATACAAATGTACATGAAACTTAACGAAACATGTTTAGTGAATGTAGAAAATATTTAAGAGAGCATTTAGTTCTATACATACATGTTCCCATATATATTTTTTTTGTAATGTCACACAAGTAATAATCTCAGGGTTTACTGGGTTTTACGTGATTATTTTTGTATTGGTGGTGGTATACTAAAAAATAAACATTGTCATGTGTTTATCTTTCTTCTTCTCACCGATTCCTGATGGTTAGAGGACAGTTACTTGAGTCGTCCCCTGTCGTTTCAAGGAATAGTAAAACGGAGAGCGGGTCCAGTATAAACGCCTCGACCGTTTGGAGCGGTGCGCGCGCTGTCTGAGGAGACTCGCGCATACTTTCGCCTGCCTCCGCAGCGCGAGTCTCCACAGTTTATACTTGACCCGCTCGCATCCGGAGTCGTTGTCATGGCGACGCGCATTGTTTAGAGCAGATATAGGTGGATAAGATTTCCGTCTCCTCACGGGTTCAGATACACTGAAATACGTCCGCACCGCAGACATGTTGCTTCAGACAAGCACGTGCAGGTCGCGGTTTCTGTTTGCATTTCGGCCGTATTGTTTCGGTGATAAAAGTCTTTCGGCCGAAAACCGAAAATGCACTTTTGGGCCATTTTCGGCCGAAAATTTTCGGTGGCCGAATATTCGGTGCATCCCTAAATATAATGAATAAAGGCAGCTTAACTACATATTACAATAGTTCATGTTTTTCACAGTCAGCATTCATACTGTAACATTCGTTTATTCGTTGTGTCGAGTTGCTGTTTGTATGAAATAACAAACCTGCTCACCCGAAGAAAAACTCGACGAAGTGCTAATCCTGTCATAGCTTTTTGGTACATAATGGTTACCATAGTTGCAACGCGCATTTGAAAACGTGAGGCGCTGGAGAGCACAATTCGTTTGAATGCAAAATACATTTTCACCGCTAGATGGCAGCAATTCCTACAGTGTCCCTTTAAAATATTTAAGCAACATATTTACGTGTCAGAAAAACCTATACAGGTCAGGATGTGTTTTCACAAAACACTAATGCTGTGTCCGAAATCTCCACTCAAACCACTAAAAGAGCACTATATAGTGAGCTCACCAGCATAATAGAAATACCACTTTCGGACACTACTCGATCGTCGATTACAAAATAGATTTTTTTTTAATGAATACATTACATTATATTGAGCTTATTTCTCCAAAAAAGTAATTTCTGGCCGTTTCTGTCATAATGTGCTACTCCACACATGATTATAACTTATTTTTACGATCAGCGCAATGCATTACACTACGGTTGTACACTACTTTTCAAAATGCATTCTGGGATACATTGAGTGGACTATATAGGGTATTATAATCATCACTATACATTCGGACAGCACTACAAAATGGCGAGCTCACTATATAGTCCACTATATAGTGAGTAGTGGGAGATTTCAGACACAGCATAAGTCTTCTTTTAAATGTATATCTAAACAAAATTCATACTTTTATTCATCAAGGAATAAAATTGATCAAAAGTGACAGTAAAGACTTCTATTACAAATAAATGCTGTTCTTAAACGTTCTATTCATCAAAAAAAAATCCAGATTTTTTAGCAGTTTCCACAAAAATATGAAACACCACAAAGTTTTCAACATTGAGATTTTTCTTGAGCAGCAAATCATCATATTACAGTGATTTCTGAAGGAGTGATTAAGCTTTGAAATCACAGGAAATTATAATTTAAATAGATTTCAATGAAAAATAGTTCTTATAAAGTGTACTAATATTTGATTATATTATTGTACCTCAGTAAATAAATACAGTCTTTTGAAAGCATAAGAGACTTCTTTCAAAGAATTTTAACGACCATATAAAAAATGTGAGTGTGATAATAATGCTGGAAAACAGTGGCAACATTAAAAAGCTTTTCTTCTTTCTGTCATCTTGAACTGTATTATTTTTTAACGTCACGTTTAGGATGGTTTACCTTTTTTGGGTCCATGTTGAATTTTTTCCTGCCCATGGCCACATGTCGACTCTTCTGTAATGTTTTACTACAAAATAAAAGACACGAGATCAATATTGTTTTCAGGTGTGAAATACAACACCACCTCACTTTACAGTGTTCAATGAACCTGAACACACAGCATGAAGAGAGTTCAAGCTCATGTCAATGACTGCACTGTTCACACAGAGATAACGTGTGTGTGTGTGCATTTATTGACTGTTATTTATCAGAGAAGGCAAATTAGAGATAAACCTGAGACTAAACCTGTATCTTTTTCAGCAACACTTGATCCATTAATAACACTTTCTCTTGCAACAGTTAAAAAAAAAAAAAAAAAAGAAAAAACAGTTGGACACCACAATCAAAGGTGTTACAACAATGCATTAAAGGGTTAGTTCACCCAAAAAAGAAAATGTTTAAATATCCCAAGTGACTACCGTGGCTCAACTATAGGTTTATCAAGCGATGCGAATACTTTTTGTGCGAAAAAACAAACAAAAATAACGAGTTTATTCGACTATTTCTTTTCTTCCTTGTAGGCCAGAACGAGACTTCCTTATAGATTTCCACGACGCATGCGCGAGAATTGCGATCTGAAGTAGTGTAAGCTGGTGTAAGCAGATCGCAAATCTCGCGCATGCGTCGTGTAAATCTAAGGAATTCTCGTTCTGGCCTACAAGGAAGAAAAGAAATAGTCGAATAAACTCGTTATTTTTGTTTGTTTTTTCACACAAAAAGTATTCGCGTCGCTTGATAAACATATAGTTGAGCCACGGTAGTCACTTGGGATATTTAAACATTTTCTTCATTGACTTTCTGGGCCGTCAAGAGGCAGTCCCTTAGGAGCCAATGTGGTAGTTATACAGCTCTCAAGTTTAATCAAAAATATCTTCATTTGTGTTCCGAAGACGAACAAAGGTCTTACGGGGTTGGTACAGCATGGGGGTGAGTAATTAATGACTTAATTTTCATTTTTGGGTGAACTAACCCTTTAATAAACACAAGTCCTACCTATTCACACATGTAAATAGCTGGAAAAACACCTGGGGCCTGTACCATGATGGTAGTTGAACAAACTCAGGGTTGCAGGATTGACTCTGTGCACGAGAAAAATGCTAACTTCCGCCGTGAGGGCGGATGTTGGGTACTTCGGTTCCGGTTGCCGTTGTTTACATCCTACATCAGTGGACCGGCTATCTAAAGCTTAGCTATCTAAATATATTTGTCTAAAACTATGTTCGTTTGTTCATTGTCAAGTCAACCAACACAGTTTTCACTCATATGGGTGGAGCCAGGCGCTGCTGCATTGTGAAAAGTACGTTAAACGACATTTCACATTTTGTCACCGCACCCAAGTAGTCGCTTTACAGAGTGGAGCGTTGCGTATCCATGACAACTAGAAGGAAGTTTTTAGGCTACTAATTATTTATTATATTATACCTTTTAACCAGGAGAAGCCCCTGTGTTTAAAACCTATTTTGCAAGGGAGACCTGTTTAGAAATATGTGTGAACAGCCTAACTTGATAACGAACGAACCAACGTCGGATACCTTTACTCCCTGTATGACATGTATAGTGGTTGTCAACACTGATCTATATGACATTCTATATAGATAGTGGTTGTCAACAACATAGCCTCTGAACATCTTAAACAAAACAATGGCCAACACAAACTGTTCTGGAAAATGCACTTTCTAACGCATGATTTCGCATTTTATAATGTATAGAGAGATATAACAGTTACCAAATCGCATAGCTTGAGCACGTAGCATGACAACATTAAAGGGTTAGTTCACCCAAAAATGAAAATTAAGTCATTAATTACTCACCCCCATGCTGTACCAACCCCGTAAGACCTTCGTTCGTCTTCGGAACACAAATGAAGATATTTTTGATTAAATTGGCCACATTGGCTCCTAAGGGACTGCCTCTTGACGGCCCAAAAAGTCAATGAAGAAAATGTTTAAATATCCCAAGTGACTACCGTGGCTCAACTATATGTTTATCAAGCGACGCGAATACTTTTTGTGCGAAAAAACAAACAAAAATAACGAGTTTATTCGACTATTTCTTTTCTTCCTTGTAGGCCAGAACGAGACTTCCTTATAGATTTGCACGACGCATGTGCGAGAATTGCGATCTGAAGTAGTGTAAGCTGGTGTAAGCAGATCGCAAATCTCGCGCATACGTCGTGTAAATCTATAAGGAAGTCTCGTTCTGGCCTACAAGGAAGAAAAGAAATAGTCGAATAAACACGTTATTTTTGTTTGTTTTTTCGCACAAAAAGTATTCGCGTCGCTTGATAAACATATAGTTGAGCCACGGTAGTCACTTGGGATATTTAAACATTTTCTTCATTGACTTTCTGGGCCGTCAAGAGCCAGTCCCTTAGGCAGCCAATGTGGTAGTTATACAGCTCTCAAATTTAATCAAAAATATCTTCATTTGTGTTCCGAAGACGAACGAAGGTCTTACGGTGTTGGTACAGCATGGGGGTGAGTAATTAATGACTTAATTTTCATTTTTGGGTGAACTAACCCTTTAATGTCCGAGTGATTCCACGTGTACCGCGTATGTACACGCCGTCAAATGTCCGAGCGAAACAAAACAAAATGTAGATCTACATCTGGGGAGCGATATTTATTTTTTCCTAGGATGGTAGGAGTGACGGGTATATATATATATATATATATATATATATATACATACAATAATAGCGTTAAGTCAACGGTATTCATAAACACGCTGAAAAGAGATTATGCGTGTTGATAGCATGCCAAAAATACGTGATACGTGTCATACATACACAATTTCATGAGATCAGTCTGAGCATGGATGTTGTTGTGACTTAACGTTCCCTTCAAAATGATGCAAATACTGAGAAATGTAATATTTAAACCCCTTCTCTCTTGCCCTGGGGAGCTGGAGGAAAATCATTAGCCAGTCGATGAACATAATCGACTGTAATATTCGGCAAATGTTCAAGACATCTGGAGAAACATACATCCTCTACGTCGTCCATCAGGCTACCGGAAACTAGACACCCCATATCGGTTTCGCAGCCGGAACTAGCATATGCTAACGTGCACATAGTCCATTAGTTTTGAGTTGACAAAACCAAACCAATCCAGCCAGGCTTTGTTGGTACCATGATGCTGATCTTCAACTTTCTCTGTCAACTCAGGCTTTGATCCTGAGTTTAGGAGTGACATCAGTAGCAAACAGCCAATCACATGCTAAGAAAGAGTGAAACTCTTTCAAAACTCATTGAAATTAATTTCTCACGAGAGAAGTAGCTTTACTTTTACTTTACTTTACTTTATTTATCCTTAGAAAGGAAATTTACTCTGCAGCAGGATCTAAAAAAAAAAAAAAAAAAAAAAAAAGCACCACTAGATGCCAACAACATTAAAAACACGACACAAGACATCCACACATCGAATTAGTCAATCAATTAATCAATAGAGACACTCCTTCCCCAGAATCAAATGACCAAAACAAACATAATGCAATACACAGATCAGTATATCTAATAAATAATGACAAAATAAATACTGATAAATAAACATGTACCATAAGAATTCATAAGATATCACTCAAGTGAATTCAGGTTCCTTATAGCCACAGGAATAAAAGAATCCCTAGCACGTCTGGTTCTTAACATGGGTAGCCTAAAACGGCGACCTGAGGGGAGCAAATTAAACTCCCCAAAAAGTGGGTGATCAGAGTAATTTAAAATTTGATTAGCCTTACCCCGGACCCGTTTATTGTATATCTGTTGCAACTGTGGTAGCTGTACCCCAACCACCTTAGACGCAACATTAACCAGCCTCACTAGCTTATGCTTATTGATCGTTGAAAGGCCACCATACCACACCACAATACACAGAGTCAAGACTGATTGAATAAAGCACTGGTAAAACAGAGTCATCAGAGTCTTACATACACTGAATGTCTTCATCTTCCTCAGGAAGAAAAGTCTCTGTTGGACCTTTTTACAGACAGCAACTGTGTTGCTCTCAAAAGATAGTTTGTTGTCAATGATCGTTCCTAGATATTTGTATTCATCTACTTTCTCAACATTCATGTTCTGGATAACAGTTTGTGAGACATTATTCTGTGATCTACGAAAATCGATTGTCATATCCTTTGTCTTGGAGACATTAATAGACAGGTAAAAGGTTTCACACCATGCAATAAAATCATCAACAACAGGGCCATGCCCATCCTCCTCATTATTTAGAAGACTCACTATAACGGTATCATCTGCAAATTTTACATAGTGCCTATTATCATACTTACTCCTACAGTCATTTGTATATAAAATAAAAAGCAGAGGAGAAAGGACACAGCCCTGAGGAGAGCCAGTGGAGGTAAGGGTTTTTGAAGATAAAACACCATTTACCCTAACACACTGCGACCTATTTGACAAAAAATCCAGTATCCAGCCAATTAAGTTAGAATTCAAATTAAAAATAGACTGAAGTTTCTCAGCCAACAAGAAGGGCTGAATGGTATTAAATGCAGAGGAGAAGTTCAATTCATTTACGTATAAACGTATTAAAATATTAAGAATTTAACCAAATTTACACAGCAAGAAGAAAAGATAAAGATATAGTAAAGATATAGAGAGAATTGAACATTTAAGCTCACATGTAGTCATTTTATAGCTTCATTTATTGATTCTAAATCGTATTTATATTACCTTTATATACTGTACGTATTCATTTAAAATCTGTGTAATAATAATTGATGAACTGATTTGTAGATGTGAGATCGTTTTAGGGTATAATAATTACAGAAATAATTTATAAATCATACAAATTTATTTAATAAAAGCCATGATTTTGTTTTTTAAAATCATTTGCTGTGAAGTGACTTTATCACGTCACACGTGTCACTTTGCTCACAGCTGATTGGTCCAAGTTCGGTTTGCAACCTCTTACCTGGAACATAACCTGCCTCGGACCAGGTTAGCTGTGGAGTGTAAGTTACTATGGCGAAGAACACTGCTAAAAGCCAAACCACTTTCATGGTACCTAAAACCCAGGGTTGGCACAAACTAAACTGAAACATAGCTGGCTAGCCACCTAAACCGGCTTCATGGTATAGGCCCCTGGAGCACATGCAACTGAACATCAAACACCCCGAGATTGTCATATAGATGGGTGTGTGTAAAGAAAATCAAGTTACAATACCAATGTTAATCCCACTTCTCCCCAGGAAGTACATTTATGGCAGAGAAATAGGATAATAAAGAGGTTACCAGACATAAGATAATTTTTGGGAACCTCTAATAAAAATATTTTATCTTTTTCAAGTGTATAATAACATCAAATCCTGAAGCCAATGTGATGCTTTAGGTGGGTTTCCAATGTAATAACACTCGTCTGCGAGCCTATTAGGATGCAAAAGCAATCATCTTCAGTTGTCTTTAGTCATATTCGATTCATCACCTGGAGCACCAAATATAGCAATTTCAGCACATGGCTTCAGTTGTAGTTATGAACAAGTGAAGAGCTCTTTTCCAAAACGCGATAAACGCCATTTTTAAAAAAAATGAGTTTGTCGTGTCATTCTGCTGTGGACAGAACCCTTTCACTGACCCATCAACGTTTCATGCCAAATCGCTATATTTCCTTGTTTAAAATGTACTGCAAGATACAGTTTCTTTCCAAACCGCGATTTGTTTTCCAAACCGTGTTTTTAGCCTAAACGCGATAAGTCCTCAAATTCGATAAGCGTTCCACGCAATCCAGCACGGCGGCACTCTGAACAGAGGTTTATTATGTTCATTCATTCCTCAAAATGAGTCCTAGTTTTCTAGTCGACTATAGTAGTAGATCATTTAAGCCATTTGTCTAATCAGTAGGCTAATCACATATATTGATTTAATTAAATGGAAACCATATGTTTTTTTATTTAGGCGTTTTTTAATTGCCTATTCCGCATCTCAATGCATGCATAAAGCTTGCCACAAAGAACCGGCAAAAGTAATGATTATGCATGAAACATTGGAATTGTTTATTAATAAACTAGTGTTTTCTGTCAGTGTCAGCAGCAAAGATAAAGTTGATGATGCTACTCGCCATCTTCGCAGTGAACGCGCATAAGCCTATAGAGAGATACTTCGAATTAGCCTACATACGCAGAGAGTTGCCAATTTATTTTCGTTTTTAATTGTTTTGTTTAAAAGTAGACATTTAAAGATTTCTGTAGCTTAGTTCTCAGGCCTGTGTGAGGCAAGCGTCGCAGTGTTTCGGTTCATAATATATTAGACGCGCTCTCCGGTTCACGTGCGCGCCTCTGTGTCCTAATTATATTGTCTGATATTTGCTGTTTTAATCCAGTCAATTTGTTGATGAAACATTTATTAAAATAAAGATATAATTTATATCAAACGAAATTTACAAGCTTTCTACAAAACAGAACTTAATAAGTGGTCAAAATCATGTCTGACCCACTCCAAATATTTTCCGATATTGGTCGGATATCTTACTCATCTCATGCGGTTCCCTTTTCATAGCCTACTCAACATAGATGAAATAATAAAAATAAGTAACGTAATATTAGTAAACACAAATGTGAAACGCAGCCTATGTTTTTTTTTTTTTAACTTATATTTAAGCGTCTCGCCGCTCCGCTTTGCTCACATGCTATGTATGTAGCCTATGTGTGTGTGCATGTGCTGGAGGGGTGCCCATCCCTTTTTTGAATATCGTTATCATTATTGATCATTTTTAATAATTAGTTTTTTTCATGCATATGTTGAAATTGGTAGCCTACTATTTGTTTGAGGTTTGACATTTTACTAAAAATGAATTTACTAAAAATGATACAAAAAAATGGATGGATGCATAGCGTTTTGAAAAAATAAATAAAATTAACTTTTAATTTATCATTAACAATATTGTTGTTTGATTTAATAATCATTGTTCAAAATGTTCAGACCGAACCAATAAAACATTTCAACAGGATAATTTGATTATTCACAAAATGTGTGGGTCTAGGTAAAAAATGTAGTTTTCCTGAAAACTATTGAAATGGATTTATAGCGTTTTGGAAAAGAGCTCTTCAAGTGTAAATGTTAACTAACCTGCCCTCTGTGCTGGTCTCCAGCCCCTCCACCTCTATAATGGCTTCTCTCAGCTCCTCTTTCAGCCTCTGGATCTCCAGAATCAGCGCCCCTTTCCTGCGCCGGATCTCCTCCAGCTCGGAGCGCTCCTCTGGGCTCAGGTCCGCTGGGACTGCGAAGAGAAAGAAAGAAATTAGGTCACAGGGACTTGGATAGGAAAGGAACTGAAAAGACCGATCACTCAACCAAGGCCTCTCTAACACGAACCCCCCGTTTGCTGATTGGCCTGTGTCTAATATCATTCACTTTATGAAGCGAGATGGAAACTTGATGGGGATTCGGGACACATGCACGAGTTTACGCTCAGATTCTCTGGGGACTGACAGACGACTCTTGCGACACCGGTGGGTGTTTGGAAGCTTTAGAGAGAGCAAGCCAGGACAAAACTGAGCCAGACACGCAGAAGCTCAGAAAGCAACGTCTGCAGGCAAAGACACATACTCTGAGGAACACACTTTCACAATCTTCAGCTCAAAACCCTCAAATGAATCACTCAAAAACACACTATTAGCTTCTGCTTCACATTTGGGTCTAAACGCTTCTATTCTAATAGATTTTCTCTTTACAAACTGACTTTATCAACATGACAATTTGGTGTTAGTTTTGAACATGAATTTATTTTGTTGATCCAAAAATATCAAACCTTTCGCCCAACTCCACCCCATTTTAAAGTGGTAGTTCACTTAAAAAAAACTTTTGCTGATAATTTACTCACCCCCATGTCATTCTTTCTTCAGTCGAAAAGAAATTAAGGTTTTTGATGAAAACATTCCAGGATTTTTCTACATAAAAATGGACTTCAATGGGAACCAAACGGTTCAAGGTCCAAAAGACAGTTTCAGTGCAAACTGTTCAAAGGGCTTTAAACGATTCCAGACGATGAATGAGGGTCTTATCAAGCGAAACGATCGCTCATTTAATAAATAAATAACAAAGTTTAAGTTTTATAAGCTCAAATGCTCGCCTTGCTCTGTTCTGTGACGCACGTTCGTGACTCTCCTGTTCGAACTCGTTCATCAAAATGAACGAATCTTTTTCCGAGTCAATTCGTTCATTTTGTTCGTTGAATGAATCAAATGACTCGAAAAAAGATTTGTTCATTTAGATGAACGAGTTTGAACAGGAGAGTCATGAACATGCATGCAATATGAGCATTTGTGCTTATAAAACTTAAACTTTGTTATCTTAAACAATCGTTTTGCTCAATAAGACCCTTATTCGTTGTCTGGTGTCGTTTAAAGCCCTTTGAACAGTTTGCAATGAAACTGTCTTTTGGACCTTGAACCGTTTGGTTACCATTGAAGTCCATTAAATGGAGAAAAATCCTGTAATGTTTTAATCAAATAATCAAAAACTGTAATAATCAAATAATCCTGTAATAATCAAAAACCGTAATTTCTTTTCGACTGAAGAAAGAATGACATGGACATCTTGGATGACATGGGGCTGAGTAAATTATCAGCAAAAGTTTAAGTGAACTACTCCTTTAAGTATTGTGTATATATATATATATATATATATATATATATATGAAGAGCTCTTTTCCAAAACGCTATAAATCCATTTCAATAGTTTTCAGGAAAACTACATTTTTTACCTAGACCCACACATTTTGTGAATATTTAAATTATCCTGTTTAAATGTTTTATTGGTTCAGTCTGAACATTTTGAACAATAATTATTAAATCAAACAACAATATTGTTAATGATAATTTAAAAGTTAATTTTATTTTTTTCCAAAACGCTATAAATACATCCTTTTTTTTGCATCATTTTTAGTAAAGTCATTTTTAGTAAAGTGTCAAACCTCAAACAAATACTACCAATTTCAACATATGCATGAAAAAAAAACGAATTATTAAAAATGATCAATAATGATAACGATATTCAAAAAAGGGATGGGCACCCCTCCAGCACATGCACACACACACAGGCTACATAACATGTGAGCAAAGCGGAGCAGCATGACGCTTAAATACAAGTAAAAAAAAACAAAAAACAAAATAAACATAGGCTACGTTTCACATTTGTGTTTAATAATATTACATTACTTATTTTTATTATTTCATCTATGTTGAGTAGGCTATGAAAAGGGAACCGCATGAGATGAGTAAGATAGGATCAAAATTCAAAAGCTGCCCAATATCGGAAAATATTTGGAGTGCGTCAGACATGATTTTGACCACTTATTAAGTTCTGTTTTGTAGAAAGCTTGTAAATTTCGTTTCATATAAATTGTATCTTCATTTTAATAAATGTTTCATCGACAAATTGACTGGATTAATACATTAGAAGTAAATATCAGACAATATAATCAGGACAGAGGCGCGCAGGTGAACCGGAGCGCGTCTCATATATGAACCGAAACACCGCGACGCTTGCCTCACACAGGCCTGAGAACGAGGCTACAGAAAGCTTTAAATGTCTACTTTTAAACAAAACAATTAAAAACTAAAATAAATTGGCAACTCTCTGCGTATAGGCTAATTCAAAGTATGCGTTTCTCTAGGCCTATGCGCGTTCACTGCGAAGATCGCGAGTAAGCATCAACTTTATCTTTGCTGCTGACACTGACAGAAAACACTAGTTTATTAATAAACAATTCAAATGTTTCATGGATAATCATTACTTTTGCCGGTTCTTTGTGGCAAGCTTTATGCATACGTTGAGATGCGGAATAGGCAATTAAAAACGCTCATATGGTTTCTCTCCCATTTAATTAAATCAATATATGTGATTACTGATAATACAAATGGCTTAAATGATCTACTACTAGTCGACTACTAGGACTCATTTTGAGGAATGAATGAACATAATAAACCTCTGTTCAGAGTGCCGCTGTGCTGGATTGCGTAGAACGCTCATTGAATTTGATGATTTATCGCATTTAGCCTAAAAACAGGGCTGGCGCTTATTGCGTTTTGGAAAGAAACTGTATCTTGCAGTACATTTTAAACAAGGAAATATACCGATTTGGCATGAAACGTTGATGGAGCAGTGAAAGGGTTCTGTCCACAGCAGAATGACACGACAAACTCATTTTTTTTAAAAATGACGTTTATCGCGGTTTGGAATAGAGCTCTTCATATATATATATATATATTTATTTATTTTTTTTCTAAAACAGCAGATTATATATCAGTTTTGAACCTATATATTTATAGGTACAATTTATAGGTACAATATCTATAATATACCTACATCTGCTAGTTGAACCTATATATTTATTTTTTCATTTGCAAATCCTAAATTTGCACATGGATACATAAAAAAAGAAAGTTAGTTGATTCTGAGAAGGTCTCAATATTTGGGGGTGTCTCTCAGTAGGACTGGATCTAGATGAAGTGAAGCTGATGATCATGTTCTCCAGCATGCCCTGAGATGATCTAAAGAGCATCTGACTCTCTGCATAGAGTCACAGGTCCGTGACCATCTCCATACCGGCGTGATGACTCCGATCTTCACCCAGAAGGAACTGGACAAAATATTATGAATGTTCAGATTCCAATCTCACTTCTGACCTACAATGCTGCCTGAATAGTCATACACAATTTATTGATAGGCCAGAGGAGAACTGGCCACTGGCTGAACCTGGTTTCTCCCTAGGTTTTTTTCTTCTTCTCCATTCTGTCACTGATGGCGTCTGAGTTCCTTGCCCCTGTTGCCCACGGCTTGCTTAGTTGGGGACATTAATATTCATCAATATTATTGATCTGCCTGCATTGACACCATTATATGAGAACGGAACTCAGCTGGACAATGACATCATTGTTTGTTTTTTGTCGAGAGCGGCTATAGATAAATTAACTGAATTAAGAACAAGTAATGATTTCTACAATGGAAATTAATCACCACTGGACTTAAACTGGACAATGACTTTCTTCTAAAGATGCTGTACAGCCAAAACAATCTGTTACATTATTTTCCTGTTATCACTGTTTGAAACAATCTGTATTGTAAAAAGCACTATATAAATTTAGATGACTTGTCTTGACATCCATCTAGTTACTAAAACAAATATCACTTTTGGCCACTACTGTACATCTGGTTAGTTTCACATCATTTATGGCTTCATCATGTTGTTGTTTAAATCCTAGGTTTTCAATGTGATCTCAGACTTTTATGTCTAACTACAGGCCTCCAGCCCATCTTCCAGTGAAGAATTAAATGTGCAACAGACTGATGATGACAGATGACAAGCATTTCACTCTGTGTGCCTATATTAAGACCATGATTAAAAAAATAAGTTATGACAAATCTGACTCCTTAAAAGCAACAGAAACACTGTTAAAAATCCAATAACGCCACCCAAAAGATCTATGATGATGACCAGCTGATGAACTATGACATCATGTCGGCACGACAGTTACGAAATACACAGAGTTGACATGAAATTATGCATCCACTGAAAAAAAGCGAAGAGACACGATAGATGTAAACAACTGAAGGAGGCCGAACATGAATGAATCCAGAACAATGACTGGACATGGGCAGATTAATGATGCACTAAAGCTGGAGAGATGCTAGATGTGACAACAAAAAAATGACATTTGGTTTAAACCCTTTTAAATAGCAAAAACATCCCTCTACGTGAAGGATTTCCCAAGCTCATATACAACAGTCGGTGATGCGGCACTAAACACAACGCTAAAACAGCTTTACTTACTGTAGTCCAGGTCATCCATTTTGGGGGCTTTGCTTTTAGGCATATATGTGTCGGAATCGAATGTCATTCAATAACCGAGAGATAAGGATATATAAAAATATACCCCACAAACGAAAATGAAATAAATAAATAACTAGGCGGAGGACCGATCGGGCTCAGACAAAGGAGGAGTTGAGAGCGGAAGTTGCGCCAGTGTCAGCCAGTGAAATTTACGACCCGGAAATGCCGCCATCTTTGTAAGGGCAGGTTCTGTTTAGTTCGTGAAGAAAGAACGTGATACATCTAGAGAACAGTGTTTCTAAAAATATAACGTTAGACATTTTTATTAGACATAAACTAGTAGTCAATTACTTAATAGTAGGCGATAACTTTTAGTTAACACATGATTATGTTACAACCACCAGCGGTAACAGGGCTCGTTGTTTTACCCCAACAGTGAAAATCAAAAATCACGAATTTATTTTACAAATCAATAACCACCCATCAGCTCTTTCTTCTACTCCTCCCCATTTCAAGTATTTTAAAATAGAATAGCCTAATTATTAATTTACGTCTAGTCTACTTATTTCATACAATGAGGCATAAAAAACTAGATGTTCTCATAACAGCTAATGTGTGCTATAATAGTTCTAAAGAAGAAATCATTTAGGACTTGATGAAAAATTAATAACAGTTTTCTATTACAAGCACGATCAGACATTTTGCATAACTGTTAGTTCAGAAAAAAGATGGTGTGGCGTTCTTATAAAGTGACGTTCTTTTCTTTTTCTTACAAATTATCATACAATAATGTAAACATCGCATACCCCGTATAAATAATAAAACAACTTATATAGCCAGCTGTTTTTTGTTCGTGAGTGTTTTTGTCCAAAATGTAACTAATGCATGTTGTCAGAAAAGGACAAGATTGGCTAAGATTTAAACTTTCTTGCTCTTTACAACTTGAGAGAGTTTATGGGTCATTATCACTATTGTCTTGATCTAATCTAGTGTTTTTCTAGTCTATATAAAGCTTCTTTTGGAGAAAATGTAATACAATTCATGTAACATTTGCTGATATGGTATATGCATTTAGGCTCACTTTTCCTTGAAAATAATAAATATTTTCACACATGCCCATCAAAATTTCACACACTATGAGGTTTACCAGTTTGAGAACTGAGAACCTCTGTAGTAAAATATACCAGATATGTTGAATACATAATGGTTTTCTATGATTTAAGTTTTAATAATGTAACAGACTTCAGTTAAACAAATATAAATATTTCACAGAAATAACCACAACACAATTTACATAATTCTTAGAGAACAAAGATTTATTTTTTATCCTAAACTAGTCTTGTAAAAAAAGAAGAAACAAAAAAAAGGATTGTCAAGGTCTCGTTTTAGCATCATGTCTTAAAATTATAAATATTCTCAAATTAATTTAAAAAAATGACCTCAGATTTCAATTAGATATTCAAAATACTACATATCAAGTATAACATTTAAATATAACAAAAATGCAGGAATTGACGAGTTACACTGTAACTGTAAGGGTGTGCCAGATATTACAGATTATGAAGCTTGTTTTGTCATGATGTAACAGTACTATGAACTAAATGACAACTAAAAGGAAAGATAGTTGTTGGAACAATACTGTAGCTGGGAGATGTAAGTGTAAAAAAAAAGGTACAGCTTAATGGAAAAATGTATGTGGTCAAACATTTGTGTATTATTCAGCCTTTTGTGGCATTGATTTACTTTACTCTGAATCCATCAGAATAATGCTTGCTTTTATTGAGGACACTTGGTATTACAGGGATCTCCTGACTGGAAAAGTCCATAAACACTAACCAAAGGGAACATTGACAGGGCACCTAACATAGAGCCCAGCTGCACCACAGCTCCACACCACACGAGGGCACTGTGGCCTTCATCTCGCAGTATCACTCCAATAATCACCTTCACATAGGACAGCGTGAGGACAAATATGACCCAGGTTATGACCTAAAGATCAAGGGAGAAAGAAAAAATAGAGATTATGTGATGCTGTTGCCCTCACATTACATTTGTGATGAACTATGTAGCACTGTGCACTGTAGTGTATATGATGAAAAATGTTGTAAGAGTTCTAACTTTGAACTTTAAACAAGGTAAATGTCAATGCCAGTAAATTTACCTTACAGCCACATTTACAGGTCTAAATGAATACTACCACTAATGGAAAGCATGTGTGTATCAGAACCTTACAATGAGTGCTGCTCCGAGGTCATGATCGACCAGCAGAGGGCAAGGGCTTAGTGCTGCCATGGCCATTATATACGCTCCGAACCCTGTGCCCGTCACCGTCAGAACCGCCATCAGCACCAGAGACCTTGGACATAGTTACGTAGTTGGGTGAATTTGTATAATAAAAGCATGTCAGCCAGGCAAACATTTCTTGGAAATAGAATAGTTGAATTTTAGCAATTAACATTATTATTTCCTGAAGTTACTTCTGCGGGGCATATTTGGGCTTTGTTCTACTTTACTTTTAGACATGCATTTGCAAACATCCCAAAGCACTTCCCTGAATCCCCGTCGTTATTTTGAAGAGCGTTCCACATTGTGAAGTGGGCGAGGGAAGTTTATATCATGGACAGTCTACTACTCTGCAGTCTGTAGTACTACTCTCCAGTCTTGTTTACATCTTGCAAAATGGTCTATAACCCAATCAAGAGTAAAACTGCAATCAAGGCATTTGTCGATCGGAAAGATATTTTTGCCGTCCTTCCTACATGATTCGGCAAAAAGTGTAACTTATCAGATGGCTCTGACGGTCGCTAAGAAGATGGGACGTAATGAAAAGCCTGTGGTCGTTGTGGTTTCCCCTTTGGTTGCACTCATGGAGGACCAAGTAAAAGAAGCAACACTCGTTATTTAACTTCTAAAATAATTAAGTTCTATCCACAAGTTTCCGAGGGGCGCTCCTGTAAAAAATAAAGTGGGTGAAACTTCCGGTGACGCGGCGGAAGTAGCATTCCAATGGTATTTTGTGTGTTAGTTAGCGAAGAGGCTAGCTGTTTTTCTGAGAATTATTTTACTATTTAAAGACGCAAATCTTTATGAGAGATGTCGTTACGGAGCTCAGGGACAACATGTGCTGTTCGCGGTTGTATGTATAACCGGACTAAACTAGTTCAGTGGCTTAAACGTGATTGTTTTGAACATTAAGCTGAAAACGAAATCAGAGTGATCCTGCCAGAGCCCGTCTCTGATCCTGCCAACGACTGTAGTTTCCATCACCTCCCAAAAGACGACGAATCTTCCTGTGTACATTTGTTTAAATTCTTAATATTCTATAAACTCTATCAGCATGTGATTGGCTGTTCACTACTGATGTTACACCTAAACTCAGGATCAAAGCCTGTGTTGACAGAATACCAAATGTGCCAGTTAATGTATTCAAGTAGCACATTCATTTATAATTTTGAATAAACTCCAAAGCACAATGACTAAGTGTGTATTTTTTATTTTAATTGTTTGTCAGCTCGCACAACTGTCTGTCACCATGCCTTGATGAGTATTGATTATTAATAATGTTATTATAATACTCCCAATCAACTACTGCGGAGGGTAAAGGTACTGTTATTTCACCCTTTTGAATTTCGTTGAGGTTGTGTTCCCACATCGTTAGCTAGTTTGGATCGCTATAACTTGAATGACTGTCAACTGTTGAATGAACGAGTGTCAAGCATGTCAAATCGCGCTTTGTTTACTTTCGCGCCCACTTTTGACGCAAGGCCTCATGGGGCGTAGGAAACTTGTGGATAGTTGAAAACCGCGCTATGGAAAGTATTTGACTGATTGGTTGTAGGTCTACCGACTATCCAATTGAGTGCAGAGTTTTTTTTTTCCCTGGTTCGATTAAGACACGCCTCATAATCAAAGCCCAATGGAGGAGTTTCAGACTCCAACAAGAATACGAGTATGACGAAGTCAGGCTTGGTGTTTCTTACTGTGATAAATATATGGAAAAGATCAAGCTACGCTACATTATTGCATGCATCCCCTAGGAGAATATTGACTTTATAATGAAAGTTAATTGTTTTTCCTCACCTGATTGGTACAAACAAGGCAATGAAGCATGCCACTGGATTCGCAACTGAGGACAAAGTGGCTGCAAGATGATAGGCTTGATTTCCATAAGGCAAACATGAGTAAGACTGGACTGAGGGCAGGACTGCATTGGTCAATGCATTGACCCAGGCCAGAACTACAAAAATGAATACCAGCTCTGCTCTACTGTAGGTTCCTTTTCCAAACGAGCTGAGGCGCTTTATCACTGGGCCTTCTGGGAAATCCAGCATGGGTGTCTGCTCTGGAGTTTCACTGTGCGGGGATTGACTTAAATCAATCTTCTCCACCCGCTGAGAATCATCAGTATAACCTTTGCTCTTGTGTTCCCGTTCCACAGCTGGGTGGAGATTGAGTAACAGGAAAGCGCCTAGGCACACCATCATCATCGCACTCAGGAAAAGGAAGAAAACCTGAGCGGAGAAGTTGGCCGGCTGGTAGTGTGCCTGTAGTTCTCCATCGGAGCCCCAGGATGAGTTCTCCACGCTAAAATTTGCATTAGTACTTGCATTTTTACAGTGGACGACCCCTACACCTTGGATAAGAGCCACCAACGCTGGGACCAGACCACTTAGACCTTCTCCAATGAAGTAGGTGGTGAGGTACTGAGGCCGTAGACGCATCATGAAGGGTAAAAAGGTGACGGATGAGGTGCAGTCCACAACGGACAGTAGGAAGCTGAGGGACAGTAAGGCAGCACTATGTTCGCCATCTCCAAAAGTAAGCGTGCGCTTCCAGAGGAAAGCCAGGAGTAAAGTGGCCACCACACCGACCGTCACAATCGTGTAGATAACGGGCCGCTCGTCCAGCACACCCGGTCTGAAGCGGTGCATGAGTGTGATGAAGAGAGGGCCAATGTTGGCCATCTGGATAATTATTGTGAGATAGGAGGGCAGGTGCCAACCCTCAGGAATGGCAGGGACAATCAGAGGTAGCTCCACCCACATCCCGTTAATGGCCACCCATGATCCGATGCCAAAAAGGCACGCCAAAACATGCGTGAACAGTGACATGATGAAGGCACTGATGTCCAAAAGGCAACTGGTTTTTAAAGGTTATCTGTAAAATGGGATAACAGGTAAAGGAATTAGTTTTACAATGATAGCCTCGACTTTTCTTTGACTTTCAAACACTGTTTTGATGTCAGAAGTCATAAATAACTGGTATTAGTGCAGCAGCGCTTCTGGGTTGTACGTCACACGTAGGCTCATTATTGGCCGACGCTGGCTATAGTATCCAGCTGCAGACCCGCATCACACCAGTTTCAGAACCCCAGCGCCAGAACCGGAAGTAAGGGGCGGAGTTAGGTTCTAACCAACACCAGCGCCAGGAACGTAAGTGAGGGGCGGAGCTTAGATTTGAAACCTAATAACGCCACCTAACGTAATTTGGAGGGTATTTTACACATGAAACAGCTTTTATTGAACAAGAAACGTTCTACTCTCTACGCATGTTATGATGCTATACATTACTATACAATAAGCATTTTAAAACATTGATTTTGTGTAAAATAATTGTATATAGTTTCAGTTATTCGTTATATTGTATTATGAGATACTTCCTGATCATGATGGTGAAAAAATAATACTTGAAACTTATGGGCATTTTAATGTATAACAGTTTAATAATTTTAGCTAAGCAGTTTATACATACGTGTAGATTTAGGAAGATAAGACCTTTGTTATTTTGGGGGTTTTTACGAAGGAGTTAACTTTGTATAATAAAGCTTTGAAAGATATAAAACAAGACAATGATTGGAGGTTTTCAAAATTATACACAATCTGATAACTCTTTAGACCTCTGTGATATTTTGTGTTCTATTTATTTATTTATTGTGTTTACAAAAATCGTTTTGATATTGAAGATGTATTTGTAAGATGATTTTGACTGTTTAATAAAAAAAACAAAAAAAAAACGCATGGGTATTTTTTTTATATAAAATATACTTTATTTCACAAGAACATGTGCAGCATGCATTTTTCGTGTAAAATAATGTCAAAATCTAAAAAAGAGAGAAAGTTCGGCATTGTTTGTTAAAAATCTATACAAAATGACCAATTCAACCCAAGATAGGCCTGTTTTATCACGACAATTTTGTTTAAATTTAACTTACAATGTATCAAATGAGGAACTCAAGGCCCGTTTTGTCCTTACATGCTTGCTAAAATACTTATAAAGCAATAATAATAATTCCGCCCTCCCTCACTTCCGGTTCTGGCGCTGGGGTTCTGAAACTGGTGGTGCTGAGGGTCTGCAGCTGGATATATCTCGACGCTGGTCATGTGTGTGATACGTGTGACGTACAACCAGAAGTGCTGCGCTGTTACACTACGTGAACTAACTCGAGGCCCACAGAGAAGGAAATTAATAGTTGAATAAAGCCGTTATTTTTGTTTGTTTTTTTGCACACAAAAAGTATTCTCTTCACTTGATAAACTTAAGATTGAGCCGCTGTAGTTACTCAAGACTATTTTAACAATGTCTTTGACTTTTCTGGGCCGGCCAGTTTTGATCTCTTAAGGAGCCTATGGAGGAGTGATCCAGCTCTCAGATTTAATCAAAAATATCTTAATTTGTGTTGCAAAGATGAACGAAAGTCTTATGGAGTTGGAACAACATGAGGGCTAGTAATTACTGACAGAATTTTCATTTTGGGGTGAACTATCCCTATAATTTTTACTAAGAGGATTTGGGCTTGATGATCTCTGGTATAAATGAATTCTACTCGTGTAGGTAGGTCAAAAGTACCAACTCTTGGCCAATACTCAAAACAACACCAGGCTTTCTATTGCATATAAAGTTCAAAGTACTGATATTTGAACTGCAGTCTGACAGAGAGGTGACTGCATTGCAACAATCAGCATGTGGTCTATGGAGAGTGTGTGTGGCATATGGTATGCGGCTGTGTGTGTGTGTGTGTGTGTGTGTGTGTGTGAGAACGGTCTTATGCAAATTCTCCTCTTGGTGGGATATTAATTAGAGCTGGATCTAAACTGCTGGAAAGTGAGCAAGAGTAGACATCCCTGTTGTCATTGTAATATATGCCTTAGCATGCACCACTTATTCCACTGAAAATATTATATATTTACTTTGCTTTAGCAAGTCCCATTTTATTGTGCAGTTTTCTGATATTTCCGTCTTATTATTATTTGAAATCACCGTAACACTTTACTTTAAGGTTCATTAGTTAATAATGTAACTAACATGAACTAACCATTTAACTTTCTATTAACCTTAGTTAATCAAAATACATCTGTTCATTGTTAGTTCACAATGCATTAACTAAGGTTAACAATATTTAAATAGTATTAGTAAATGTTCATAATAATATTAACAAATATAAAAAAATGCTGAATAGGTGCAGTTCATTGTTAATGTTAACTTACAGTTTGCGTCAGAGATGTCACATGACCTTTCCCATTCAAACTCAAGGCGAACACCAATACAGATTACCTATAAACTCACTCACTACACATAATACTACACCAACAGTTCGTGTAATCACTTCTGTATAGTCACTGTGATAACCTTCCTTGTTTTATGACATAACCGGTTCCTTCTACCTGATTGTAGTTAATCAATTCATCATTCACAATAACCAGTTTGTGTTCATACCAGTGGCTATGAACTCTCCAATGCCCTTGAATCTTTTTCAGGTTCATTGGTTTACAGAAAACACACTCATGTTCAAACAGAAAGATACACACATCCCACCTGATTCTCCTGAGGTCTCAGCACATTCTGACAGCAGTTTGAACAGCCTTCAGCGTGAGTTTGAGCTCTGTGTTTCTCGCTCCTTGGCTCTCTGAGATCGTTCACCTGATTTGAGACTACGCACGCGCGATCTGTGTAGCAGGGGTCCTTTATCCCAGTGGGCAAACATTCAAGACCATGTGCTCAACTAACCGACGACACGGGAAGGCAAGTGTGTGTAAAGCATGTAACTAATCTCTCTCTCTCTCTCTCTCTCTCTCTCTCTCTCTCTCTCTCTCTCTCTCTCTCTCTCTCTCTCTCTCTCTCTCTCTCTCATAACAGCCTTGACGTTTATCGGAAACAGGAAGTGCATCTTATTACATGACAGAGGCTGAACCATAGGGACTGAACTGACATTGAAACGATTAGTTAACCCTTAGCTGTAAACACATTCTAGCTTTTTGTTTTTACTAAATACAGCAGCTCACAATCTTTTATTATATTTATATTTATATTATATATATTATTACATTTTATTATATATATTTTTATATATTTTTTTAGTCCCTTGGCATGACAAAGTCACACAACCCTTGAGAAAAAGAAGTGAACTTAAAGGGATAGTTCACTTTGAAATTAATTTTTGGTATGTCTTAGCTTACCTAAGGGCATCCAAGATGTAGGTGTCTTTGTTTCCACAGTAGTTTCAATTTTGATATTTTTAGGTCAAACCGTTCTTGTTTGTCAGTCATATAATGGAGGTCTGGTCACCACCTCAAAGAGCATGCACAGAGAAGTCCAGATTAAACATGATTTAATGACTCGTAAATGTAAGTACACATTGCTGGCCTAAGACACGAAACGAGCGGTTTGTGTGAGAAAACAAACAGTATTTCAGACTGATCTCATGAAATTGCATGTTTATGACACGCCAATTCGTATTTCCATTTTTGGCGTGCTATCAACACGCATAATCGCTTTTCAGCGTGTTTATGAACGCCGTTGACTTAACGTTAAATTACTGTAAATATATGACCTACCTACCTCTACCTAACTGGGGTTAATACCATTTATGAGTCTTCCCCTACCATCCTAGGAAAAAAGATATCGCTCCCCAGATTTAACGGCGTGTACATACACGTGCAATCACTCGGACATTAATGGCGTAGACATACACGTGTATACGCGTATAGCTCAAAATGTGTATTGATAACACGCCACTTGACTTGAAAGTGGTGTTTCGTGTCTTAGGCCATCAATGTGTACTTACATTTACGAGTCATTAAATCATGTTTAATTTGGACTTCTCTGTGTATTAGTGAAGTATTACTTCTTTCTCAAGGGAACACAGTCACTGCCTGCACCATTACTCGTTTTTTATTTGACATTTAATTTTTTCTTATTTCATTACATTTTTTTTCTTATTAGACAAACTGCAACATCTCAAAATTGTTATAAATGTTTATATGTGACAATTTTATCATTAAAATAAGATTTGTATGTCATTTGTACAACAAAAGTTTTTCTTTTCTTTTTTTTTTTCAGATGTACAGATCTAAATATGTATGATCAGATACTTTACAGGATATATCCCAGGATCATAAAACTGTAAAGAGTGTCACCTGACAAGAATATTGAAACATTTGGGATACAGAGGAGAAAAATCAATATAGTTTTGCAAAATGATTCCAATAAAATAAACTAAATTGTTTTTCTGAAAACCAATGCCTCTAAAAGAAATGAATGTATTAATATTTAATTTCACATGTATCAATTTCAAAATCTTGTCACTGAGTCTATCAACTGCTAATCCACAATCTTTAGTCCCTTTCATGCAATAATAAA